GCTTATTCTTGGTGTTCTATATAAATAGAGTCATTCACGTGTCACTTCTCATGTCTGACTTCTTTCACTTAGCAAAGTGTGCTCAAGGTTTATCCATGCTGCAGACTGTGTCACTCTTGTGTTTGTGTTTAAGGCCGAGTAGCATTCCATCAGTGGACACCCACATTCATTCATCCGCTCACCAGCTGCTGGAGTGTTGCTTGTCTCTCCTTTTCGACTGTTACGAGCAAAGCTGTTGTGAACATTCGTGGAGACATATGTCTTCATCTCCCTTAGGAACACATCTAGGGTAGTTGCTGGGTTTCTGATAACTCTGATTTAAAATCTGGAGAAACCGTCACACTCTTCTAAAGCAGTGTATTCCCCTGTGCCCCTCTACCATTGCTGAGGGCATTCTGGTCTCTCTACATTCTTGATAGCTCTAGTTATTTAGTTTAAAAAACAATCTGTTTTATTATAGCTATTCTAGTAGCTGTGCAGTGTGACTCAGTGGATGTGAGGTCTTTTACTTCTTTTTTCCCTTTCTCATTAAACTTTTCTTTTTAAGCAATTTTTAAAATTTGTGATACATTTTTGGTCAAGTTATTTCCAATAAGAAGCATGACTAAAAACAAACAGCAGTAATGACTTAAAGCTTCCATCTATACTCAAACAAGCGTCCACACGGCAGTCTTTTTTCTGAAGGCTTTTCCAGGCCGGTCTTCTATGAGATATTCTCTTTCCACTGACCTGGTAACAAGTGTTAGGGATGATGCTTGGCCTGGGCATAGTTGGTGGCCTTCCTAGCCTCGTCACCTTTTTGGAGCAGAGTTAGAGAAGCGTCTTAACACACACAGAATTGCTGGGGACCTTACCGATGGCAGCTGTACCAGCTTCCTGGAACCGAGGACTGCCTTCCAGCTTTGTTCAGAATGTTGAGTCGTCTTCCCTTCAGCAAACTTGCAGAGTCCAGTAGAGGGGCAGAGCCTGCAATGATTTGGCTTGGATGGTTCAGGATAGTCATGAGCAGTGGAGGGTGGCTGCTTCCAGTCACAGCTCATATCCCCCTCCCCCCCCTTAACTGGCAACAATTGCCAGAATAAACACTTTGATGGACAGCTCTTAGGAATAGCTTCACTCAAAGCCTCACGGTGCATTTCAACACACTTTACTTCAGTTGTGACATTGGCTGGAGAAAGGCAGCCACTATAGAGTGAGGACAGTAACTTCCCTCAGCTCACAGGGACTATACAACACCACCAGTTTTGTAAACGTCTTGGAAGGGGAGGCACAAAGGCTTTCAGTTGGACAAGTTGATGGCAGGATACAGTCTGTAATTGGTGTGGTTCCATTTGCATTGCCACCATGAGTGACATTCCATTCTGTGAATCAAGGCATGTTGGCACTTGACTTAGACCAGGAATTTGGCCCAAATGCTACAGTGTGAGGGTGGTGGCTTATTTCTTAGTGTAAATACTACCTTCCTAAAAAGAGCTTTGTTCCTCTCCTGGCTAAAGGGAGGAACAGTTAGTTGTTTCACACCGAGTGTATAAGCTAGAAGGTATGCTCATGTCATGTGCCTGCCAGCTTTTTTTTTTTTTTTTTTAATTTCAAGACAGGGTTTCTCTGTGTAGCAATGATTGTCCTGGAACTCTGTAGACCAACCTGGCCTTGAACTCAGAGATGCATCTGCTTCTCAAGTGCTGGGTTTAAAGGCGTGCGCCACCATCATCCAGTGGTCTGTCAGTTTTTTGAGAGACCAGCTTTAAACTTGCCATCTGCAGCACCAACAGTCAAGACAGCATAGGCAGTCTGTAATGGTGCACCTGTCATCTTTTTTTTAATAGAAGTCTACGCTCTGGGGCATCAGTGACAATCACTTAATACTTGCAGGTCTCCAAAGTCCACAGGAGATGTCACTGGTTGTTGATGGGGTTTCTGTCCTGCCTGGTTCCCACAATTATGTCCCAAAGAAATCACACCAAGTTATAAACTGGTTGGCCCATTAGCTTAGGCATCTTATTAACTCTTATAACTTATATTAGCCCATTATTCTAGTATATGTTAGCCACATGGCTCAGTATCTTTTTCAGCAATGCAGTCACATCTTGCTTCTTCTGTGTCTGTGCCGGGACTGCAGAGGAGTGGGTTTCCTCCTTCCCAGAATTCTCCTGTTCTCATTGACCCACCTCTACTTACTGTTTGGTTGTCCCACCTATGCTTCCTGCCTAGCTACTGGCCAATCAGCATTTATTTAAAATATAATTGACAGAATACAGACCATTCTCCTACACCAACTGGTGTTGGCTACTCATGCTCAGCCCTCACTTTATCTGAAGATCCAGACACTTGAAGGAACCCTTTTCCATTTCAGTGCCTACTTCATAAGCTTTCAATGTTTTATGTGTCTGAGTGTTTTGCTTACATATATGTATAATACAAGTTATAAGTTATATATCCTGGGGTTAATCTGGATTAGCATCTCCTGTAGCTACCCTGGGGCTAATCTGGATTAGCATCTGCTATAGCTATCCTGGGGCTAATCTGGATTAGCAATTCCTGTAGCTATCCTGGGCCTAATCTGGATTAGTGTCTCCTGTAGCTATCCTGGGGCTAATCTGGATTAGCATCTGCTATAGCTATCCTGGGGCTAATCTGGATTAGAGTAAGGATGTGGCCAAGGATGGGGAAATCGCTGCAAAGCAGAAACCAGAGAGATTTGAAAATTCCATGTGGCACTTTGAGCTGTTTATGAATTTCCTTGATATTCTGACCTTAACATGAAATGAACTTGTTTATTTAGCAGATGTTGGGACATGAAGTTGTGGGGTGCCAAGAGGCATGCAATTCTAAAAGGTTTTATGTGTATGGTTGTTTTGTGCATACATGTTTGTCTGGCTGCTGCTGGTGTGCTTAGTGTCCACAGGGGCCAGAAGAAGGCATCAGATTCCCTAGGACTTGAGTTATAGATAGTTGAAAGCACCATGGGCATGCTGGGAACTGAACTCAGATCCTCAGGAAGATCAGCCAATGCTCATAACACTGAACCATTTCTCTAGTCCTATTTTTTTTAAAAAAATGTTTTAAACACATTGTACGTGTGTGTGTGTGTGTGTGTGCACGTGCGCGTGTACAAGTGCACGTGTGTGTTTGATAAGAACTTGCATGAGTCAGTTTACTCCCTTCTACCATGTATGTCCCAGGATTGATTGTCAGATTAGGTGACAAGGGCCTTTACCTGCGGAATCATCTCCCTGCATTCCACTTTAAAGACAAGGTCTCTCTATGTAGCTCTGGCTGGCCTGGGATTCACTGTGTAGACCAGGCTAGTCTTGAAATTTTATTGAGTCCCTACTGCTTTTGTCTCCTGGATGGTGGGATTACAGGTGTGTACAGGTATACATGTGTATACCACCACACCTGGCTTATCATTTTAATATAAAGTTATAAAGATGCATAGAGATATGAGTGTTTAGTATTTATGAAAGATGTAATGGGAATAATCATCATATATTGTGGGAACTCTTTCCTGGGGAGATATAAACAAATGTCTAGCTCTTTATTAGAGGGTATCAGCAATAAACCAAAGTATGATTCTACTAACTTTAATCAGGCATACTTACAGAGCATGGTTGGATAGTTACTTATAGGAGTAAAGCAGCCATATCACCCCAAAGTTTCACCCTATGGAGAATGATGACTTTGCATAGCTGCTTGCTTATATGGAGTCTCCCTGTCAGTTAACCTGCCATAGTGTATACACTAGTACCTCCTTAGACCACAAGGCCATGTGCAGTTTGGGGCAGAGTCATACTCAGTGGGCAGAGGACAGGAAGCAGAGGGGGTGTTTAAGATAAGGGGTTGAGTGTCTGATCCTCCCCACCCCTCTTCCTTTGAGGGAATGCCAACAGTTAACAGGCCCCATCCTGAGGGTCTACAATTGTTCACAGCTGCTCTGATGAAGGTGATGGCTGTTCTGCCCCAAGGATAGTACTAGACAACTTCCTAGAAAGTAGTCTTCTAGCTGAGTGAAAGACAATGGGCAGTGCTTTCTGCCAAGCAGGTAGTCTATGAGGAGAGCCTTAGAAAACTATAGAGCTCAGGCAAAGAAGGGGATGGGTGACTGGCCTACGAGGAGCAGCTCCCAAATGTGAGGAGCCTACTTTCTGCTTTTGCCTCTCCGCTCCTTCTGTTTGTGCAGCCCCTCCACTTCTTACCCCATCAGAAATGTCTTTGTCAATTCTGTGGCCTCATAGAAGATGGACTTATAGGGCAGGTTCTAGAGGAATGGATTTCTGAGGTGGTCTAGTCCAAGCAGGAGATGGAGCTTTCCTGCTGTGGCTCCGTTTACATCAAATGCCCAGATAGCTGATGATTAGAGATTAGTGGTTGCCAGGAGCTAATGGGGAGATAAAACAGGAAGGAATTATTCATGTATGTGGACTTTCTCTTTGCGGTTCTTTGAGTTAATAGTGATAGTTGTGCAGTCTTATGAATGTGCTGAAAGCACCAAATTACATTCTTTAATAAGACTGAACTATCACCATACCACCTGAACACACTGCTCTCCTTTAAAAATGGTGAATTATCTCTGATGCTTAAATTATATTTCAATTTAAGAGGGAGGGGAAGGAATGAAAGAGACGGAGACCCTGAAACAAGCAGAGATTGGGACACTCCGTGATAGTTTAAATATTAGCAATATTGAAAATGAAATAGCAGCCATTTCTTAAGTTTTTAGTCTGCACAATTGATAAGGACAGAAATATGGGAACAGAGCAAGTTTTGGAGAAATAAGTAGTGAGCTGTGTATTTCATGTGTAACCAAGGCAGACAGGTAAAAATAATGGCCCTGATTTGAAGAGAGTTTTGAGACTAGAGAAAGAGGGCAATGTGTGAAAGTTGGCTGAAGTCAGTCAAACTTGTTGACAGGTGATATTTTCTTTTTCCTTGGAAGATGTGTGCTGCTGTTCCTTTTTGCCTAGACTGGTCTATAAACTGAGCTTTGTGTTACTTTTCAGGCAGAAGCAAGGCTAGCAGCAAAGCGGGCCGCCCGGGCCGAAGCGAGAGACATCCGCATGAGGGAGCTGGAACGACAGCAAAGAGAGGTAACGCCAAGTGTGTGGTGTATTGGGGTGCGGGATAAAAAGCCAGGTTGGATCTCATCGTCTTGAGTCTCTGTTTCCAGGGCTCAGGAGTTCAAGGGTTGCTGTGAGGTAGTGAGAGGGATGTCCCCAGGCTGGACGCGTTTTTTTCTCTTCGGGGTGCTCTCTCCTCCACTTGAATGTAGGTCTAGGTCTTGTTCTCCCAGGTCAGCAACTGCGTTTTCTCTTTAGATAAACCATCTGAGAATGAACACAGAGAGGAGGGGCATTGCAGACAATATAAAAGCTCTGGCCCCAGGGTGGCGAAACTAAAGACTCCTTCATTCTTCACTTCATAATCCCAGTTCTCTGCCTTTGAAATAGTTAACTTAGGAAGTCTGTTCTGGACATTTTTCTATATTTTCTTACAGTATAAATATGGTTTCTGCCCACAGTGTTACCATCCTCACTGTCAACCCTTATATTTCCATAGGATGTGGGGAGACACCTCTATAATGGTCTTTGTGCTAAATGAGGAGGCCTGGGAGTTTTGGAATGGGAGGTTTTGACATGACACATGTGCAGGTTCAAGTAGAAACATGACAGTGAACCCTGATTCCCCCAGAGAGCTAGCTGAGTCCCCACACTTACCATTTGAATCATACTTAGTAATGTAGGAAAATGGTCATGGAAGAATATAGGGAGAACCCCAAAGTATAAAATTGATAGAACACCCCAAAACAAACCAACCAGTGCCAAAATATAGGACCAGAAAGAACTGGTTTAATCAGTACTTTGACTTGACAGCCTGTAGTTATAATTGGTCCTCTGTTTTTCTGTAGTCTACATATTTATATTATGCTTTTGTCTTCAGAAAAATGGAGAAAAGTAAAATAGGTAAATGAAAATTGAGCTAAGATAAGATACTCATTAACTTTTCTTCCTGACATCTACTTGGGTCTGAAAAGTCTCACAAATATTTCAATACTATTTATAAAGGGGAAACATCTGTGGAGGAGTAATTTATTTTGATGTTATTGGTAGATTTTTCTATTGACAAGTTAATAAAAGACATTTATATATTTGTGCTCTAGGCTGATGTAATTTTTCCCCCTTAGTTAAGGTTAATATTGGATGCAGTTCTTGGTTTGAAATGTAATGTTCCAATGCATTGTCTCTGTACACCTAAGGTTGTACTAAATTACAAATAGGAGAGAAAGTTACTGATAGAGGTTCTGTCCATGCAGAGAACCATGCGTCTTTTTGGTGGTGAACATAGTTTAGAAATCTCTTGTATTCTCAAAGTGTAGCTTTGAGTCACCTACTATTGTTGTCCTGGGCAAGTGTATGTGATAAAGATTTTTTGGAGAATGCAGTGTTTTGAAAACTGTTCAGTTTATAAAACTTTTTTATTCATAGCCTTCTTCTCATCATTGCTCTGACCGGAAATGGGGGCAGATTCAAAAGTGGCTGGTAGGCCAGGATTGCCTGTCCTGCATGCTGTGATAAACTGTTGAACTAATGCAACATTGCAGCCAAACATTAACTAATGGTTTGCAAAGTAGGCGCTTGGTCTGTGTGAACAGAAGATTATATGGGTCCTCGTAGTCCAGCCGTTTCCTTTTGCTGTGGGTAGCCTCACTTTGACCTCATGGAAGTCCCAGATCAAGAAAGAACGAGTAAATGAATGTGTTTTAGTAGTTTGGGCCAGACTAGAAAATATTAAATACAAACAAAAGCATATGTTGAAAATCTTATATTTCAGTTCTCTGTTCAGGGGATGTGAAGATAACATTTAAAAGAATCATTGATATGTGTGTAGCTTAAACATTGAGAGTCTTGCACTTAGGAAGTTTTTTGTTTGAGGTTTAAAATGTAGTTGGTTAACCTGAGTCTTGACTGGTAGCTAGGACTGGACATACGCAGAAGGTGGGAGCGTGTTTCAGATGGGAGTAATTGCTACTCCTCCCTCCTCCTGCCCCTGTTCTTTACTTCTTTCAGATTGATTCTTCCTCTCCCTTCCTACCATACTCTTGGCTCCCTTGTTTGTGAGCCTACAGGTTATCATGTGATATTCTTGATATAAACTTTAAGTGGCTAATAAGTTTTTAGTGAAATCTATGATGTATGACCACGCATAGGACTCTGTTGCTAGATGATTCTTTTCACGTCAGATATTTCTCTTGATTGTAGCTCTGTGTGTGTGCATGCATGTGCTTGTGTCACTCTTATCTTGTTGGGATGTGAGTAGGGAGTACTAGAAACATGAAGTTCGGGAATGAAGGAAGCTACAGTGTGTTAGCACCATGCTGGAGCTTTTTGCCTTGCTTTATCATAGGGGGTGCTCTCCATTTTGTAGATGGGCTCTTTAGGTTTTTTGTTTTTGTTTTTGTTTTCAGTCAACTTAAATCTAGACATACCTGGGAAGAGGGAATCATAACTAAGGAATTTTATCCATCAGATTGGTCTATGGCCATGTCTGTGAGGTATTTTCTTAGTTACTAATTGATATAGGAAGGCCCTGCCCACTGTGGGTGGCACCGTCCCTAGGCAGGTTGGCCTAGCTATGTGAGAGGTAGCTGAGCAAGCCAGAGGAGGCAACATAGTAAACAGTGTTCCTGCATGGTCTCTGCTTCCGTTCTTGCCTCTAGGTTCCTGCCCAGACTTTTCTCACTGATGAACTATATAGCCAGGACAAACCTTTCTTTCCCTAACTTGGTTTTGGTCAGGGTTTTATCACAGCAACACAAAGCATACTAGGACAAGAGACGAAGGAGAGGTGTAGTGATGTAAGCAGCCTCATTAGTCATTGGCAGAGTCAGAAGGAGTGCCACAGCTGCTGACAAAGGTGAGGCAATCGAGGGGAGGGCTGGAATCTTCCTGCGTTTCCGTACAGTCCTGTGCAGCCAGCTTTCCCTGTTTTTCGTGGTTCTGATTTAAAGTTGTGCGCTTCAATCAGCAGCATGTTGGTGTGTGGTTGGAAGAGTAAATGCTGTTTCTAGTGTTTTCTAATCTGAAACTGAAGGAGCAACTCCAGCCTCAGCTCCATGATAATATTTGTAGACAGAGAAGATGGCTAAGCATGTTCTTGGGGCTGGGATTTTCTTTGACTGAAACTACTGAGTTTTACTTTAAGTGAACTTTTAAAAAGAATGTGTTTTATTTTTATTAACCAAATTGAATATTGTTGAGGGAGCTGCGGGCTGCATTCCTGCCACCCAGCTCCCGGCCGCCTGGCTAGCTTATGCCCCGAAATAACAACACACAAACTGTATTCTTTTAAGCACTGCTTGGCCCATTTCTATTAATGTGTGTAGCACCCTAAGGTGCGCTTACTGGGAAGATTCTAGCCTATGTCCATCCTGGGTCGTAGCTTCATCACATCTGCCCTGACGATGAGCTGCATGGCGTCTGTCTGAGGCGTCTTACCTCACCTCCTCTTCCTCCCAGCATTCTGTTCTGTTTATTCTACCCACCTATGTTCTAACCTATCAGGGCCAAGCAGTTTCTTTATTAGCCAATGACCTTCTTCCATCAGGATATAACAAGATAATTTTCCAGGAAGTTTTGAAGTTTTTATACTTTATTAATTCTTATGAGAAACTCAGTCGTCCTAGTTAACATCATTGTAGAATCTTTGCTCCATTTGTATGTTGCCATTACCAACATTAGCCTTTCATCCATGACTTAGAATTTTGAGAATGCTGGGGCCTCATTTAGAGCAGGCAGACACTCTGCCTCTGAGCTTTATCTCCAACCTGCTTTTTACTTTTTGAGACAGAGTCTGCGTTGACCTGGCAGAAATAGTCTGCTGGTCATCAGCCTCCTGCTCTGGATATTTATGTTGTTATTCATGATGGTGGCCAATCCTTACACAGCCAGGGAGGAAAAGACTCCCAAAAGTTTGGGCTAAATATGTCCCTGTCATTTAAAGCATTGTCATGCTTGGATTGTTCAGTCCTAATAAGACCACCCAGGATTCTGACTGGTTGTTTCTCATGACTGTGGAGAAGGGAACACTCTGTCTTGTATTTAGTACCTAAGAACACATTTTGTTGCTGCTTGTTTTCTTAGCTACTGGTGCTATCCCTTAAGGAAAAGCTACTGGCTGTTATATGTATTATCGATCCCACCTGGACAGTGAAGAGGGCTGTTCTTCCACAGAAGGAAGCCCTGAGTTTGTTGTTTCTATGTAACTGAGTTTCAGCAGGGTGGATGCTATTCAAGGTTCTGTGGGCCCATTTATGCTCTGGGAGATCCCTCCTCAACCCTCTGTGTGGTAACTTTCTGTCCTGAAGATAAGGGACCAGATAACACCCTCTCTATGGACCCCAGAACCCAGGCATGGTGGTGCCTGCCTATAATCTTGGCACTTAGGAGGCAGAGGCAGGAGGCTTGCCATGATTTTGAGGTTAGCCTTGCTTACTGAGTGAGACCTGTCTCAAAAAAACAGAATTCTGGAGTTGTAACCAAAGTTTTTCCAAGAGTGTTTCCTTCTAATTTCCTTGGATTTGCCACTTCACTGCTTTTCACAGTCAGGAGATAATCAAAACAGCCTCAGTGCTCTGCCTTTCTGCAGAGAGCTGTGCTACTGAGAAAAGCTGCCTTACAGCTCTTAAGGCATGATAAAAATTTGTCTTGTGTTTTCCTTACTGTTTTACGTGAACATATATTTTTCAAATTGGCTTAGAGAAATATTTTTGGCAGCTTTAGCCATGTGCTGGTAATTAGATTTAAGTTGATTAGAATTAAATTTAGTTTTTCAGTTGTGCATTGTATTAGGGTTTTCTAGAGGAACAGAAGTCATAAGATGAATATATGTAAAAGAATTTATTAAATTAACTTACATTAAAATAGTAACACCCTCACACTTGAGAGGCTGAGATCAGGTATAGTTAGTTGCTCGGTCCATCTCACTGGGTGCTTCAGCAGTTGGAATCATCTCACAGGCACTGCTTTCTAACTGCTGGGAGGTCAACAAGTTGGTATTTGATCTGTCCACCGATGGGACACCTCACCAGTCTGAATCTGGTGCCAAAAACCTGGAGAGCCGTTGTTTCTTAGTTCATGCTGGAAGGCTGGCGAGCCTGTTCTGTTGTCAGTGACACAGCAGAGGCAGGAAGGTAAAGCCACCCTGCTGTTGAAGGGAAGGCCGTGTCCCCTCTGCCACACCCTTTTAAATCTGAACTACTACCAGAAGGTGCTGCTCGCATTCTGGGTGGGTCTTCCGTATCAATTAAGGAAGGACAGTTCTTCAGCTGAGGCTCCCTAATCAGGTGATATTGGCATTTCAAGTACTCAGCTGCCTGCGGCTGGAGGGCTACCATAATAACACAAATATGACTGTGTCTGTCATCTCTGTTGGACAGTGCTCGTGTAAAGTATGGCTTTTGACTGTGAAATAAGTGAGCTGTATTCTTTGTCCAAATGAACTAGACAGTATGGAATATAAATTTCACTCTGTAGACTTCTGTAGTCTTTTAGGTCCAATTTATTACCTATCTGTCTGTCTGTCTGTCTGTCTGTCTGTCTGTCTGTCTGTCTGTCTGTCATCTGTCTGTCTATCTTGCTGATTGGCTAGCTGACTGGTGTGGTGGTACACCTCGCCTTTATTTCAGCACTCAGGAGGCAGAGGCAGGTGGATCTCTGTGAGTTTGAGGCCAGCCTGGGAGTTCCAGAACAGCCAGGACTGTTACACAGAAATCCTGATTAAAAAACAACAACAACAACAACAAAAACCCCACAAAAACACAAACTTTTTTTTAAAAATCTATTTATTCATTTTAATTTTATGTATAAGTATTTTCCCTGCATTTATGTGTGTAGACTGTTTGCATGGCTAGTACCTGCAGTGGTCAGAAGAAGGTATCGGATCTTCTAGAATTACACATGGTTGTGAGCCTCCATGTAGGTTATGGGAATCAAACCAAGGTTTTTTGGAAGATCAGCAGGTACTGTCAACCACTGAGCCATTTCTCTAGCCCCTGGGTCAGATTTTCAGTGGGAATTAAAGAGAAAAGCCACTCAAATATAGAAGTATATCAATATTTAATAAGATTTTGTTATAGAGTTATTTTGATAATTACATAATTGCAAATAAATAGGGATTCATCTGTCCTTGTATCTTTGATGGGGCTTTGTTCTTCAGGTGGGCTTTTGTTGGTTTTCTTTAGATATAAGGTCTTAATTATGCTGGCCTGGAACTCACTTTGTAGACCAGGCTCATCTAAACTCACAGAGATCCACCTGCTTCTGCCTCATAAACGCTGGAATTAGAGGACTGTACCATCACATCAGGCAGGATGTGCTGTCTAGAAGTGTTCTGTGGTTGGTAGAATAGAGTGAAGGGAGAAGTAGGTCTTCAATCTTGGAAATCAGCTTAGTACCCCAAATGATGTCGAGGGGCATGTAAAATTAATTTGCCTGTGTGATTCAAGGCTTTCTAATTAGCTTAGAATGAGTTACCACTTAACATGGAGTGTTCTGCTCTGCTAACTTACATGTCTCCTAGACTTTTGTGGTATCACTTACAAAAATGTAAATTGGTGATTAATGCCTAGAGATCACAACACCCTGTTAGAAATCAAGTCACCAAATCATGTTTGTATCAAGTGTAGCAGTGCATACAGTAGTTGTTAAAAGACAATTTAAAAAACACATAAAGATTGAGACCAAAATGAAGCAGTAAGCTGTGGCATTTTGGTTGACTTACTATCTCTGTTTTAAGATAATGGCAATAGATAGCCCATCTGTGTTTCAGATGCATTGCTGGATTGCTGTGGAGTGTTGTAACATTGGTTCATTTAGATAGGTAGCTCACCTAGACCAGTTAGATGTAGTTTTTAGTCACAGTGGAAATTACTTTAGCAATTGGGACGTTAAAATTCTGAAAAATGAGCAGTTCCTTACGGTGTCAGGTGATCATATTCTGGGCACTAGTTCTTTGCTGCCCATGACTCAGGCTTTGCTGTCTCCTTGCTGATGCACGATTGTGGAAACATTAGAATTGCACACAGTTACGTGTACTGCTGGTGTAGTCAGTCTCCTTATAAGCTGCTTAAGGCATGGCTTAACTATCAACTTATTTCTTAGTAGTTTAATCACATTAACGCACAGGGGTGTATTTCTGTATTTCTTTTATTTTCCAGTTAGAATAGTGAAAAGAGGGGGAAGAGCCCTGAAATGAAAAAACTTCCTTAGAGTGAGCACCAGAGTAAAGTACTTTTAAAGCAATGTACACTCTTCTTTATACATATATGACAAAGTAAACATTCCTTCTCACCTGTATAATCTGGCACTTATAATGAAAAAATAAATGTCTGCTTTCAGTGCTCAACCCAGCATCTGTTTGCTAAGTGCTGTTGTGTGTTTTAATCCTCGAATGTTGAGCTTCTCTGGGCCACGTGCAAATAAGAGTGCTTGGACACATCTGCTGAGCTGCTGCCTTTCTGTCTGATACATGTGGTACCACCAAACTCAGCTTTGGATCCTGCTTATTCTAAGAAGGTGCCGCTGTGCTTTTGACTGGCTGGTTTTTGCTCCTTTGCTCTGATAAACAATTACTTGTTAAATGAATAATTATCCATGTGCTTTCTTCTTCCCCAGGAAGATTCAGAGAGGGCCAGGTATTCTCACCGGTCTGGCCATCACCGTTCTTACCTGGTTTGTAGTGTTATGTAAACTTGCCTGTGGTGCTGTTCCTCCTTGTCTTCATGAAGTCAGACCTTTAATATGCTTGCTTTTATTTTTATCAGGGATTAGAGGATACATTGTCTCTTCGAAGCCTTGGCAGTCACAGGGTTGGTATTCTAAGTTGTTTACATCAAATAGCAAAGCTTTTAACAATAATCTTCTCTCAGCATCGGTGATTATCTGAGCAATCCAGCAGTGTCCATTTATGCCTCTTCATAACGTACATGAACAATGCTGGCAAAGCTCTGTATTAGAAAGAGATGTTTTCTCTCAAATTATTGCTAGAAGTGAATCAATTCTAAAATCTTGAATATTTTTATTTTAATCCAGGTTTTTTCTCGCTTTCTGTAGAAATACCTTTGATTTTAGAAGTATCACAAAATCATAAGATGGAGTTTTGTAGAATAACATCTGCTTTGTCCTAATTTTTTGATTTTTCTTATTTTCATATCATAAACTGACAATCTATTGAATGAACATAGCTTTGGGGCTTGTCTGGCTAATTACAGTTATAATTACATGGAACTGTTGACTTGAGATTTTTTCCTGCCATACGTATAGGAATTATGCTTTGACGTTTTGATTAATATTTTATAATATACCAGTCTTTTAGTATAGATTGTTATAAGTAGAGTGAGGATTTGCTGCCTAAAGTCTCGTGTGTTGTGCTGAAGCACAACCTTTCCTCTTACTTCTTAAAGAATTGGGCTTCAACACAATGTTTTGCACTTGTGTTATTTATGTTTTTCATCAGTAAAATCATCTTTCATATTAAGGGCGTTATTTGTTCCAACTCTGATTTCCTTCTTTATATAAAAGTGTACTACTTAAGCTAATACCTGAAATAACATGTATTAGCATTTTTATATTTTTAAGTACTCCACCTATTACACTCCAATACATTGTTTTCTTTTGGTGTATGTATGTGTTTCTAGAGTAACTTTATAAACTGGTTTCAAGTCATAAGTGCCCTATTTAGTTACAAATTTTAGACTTGTTTTGTAGTATTGACAAATTTTTGAAGAAACCTAAGATAAAATGGGTTTACAGGAGGCTGGAAAGCTGGCTCAGCGGTTAGAAAGCACTTGCTGCTGTTGCAGAGCCCAGGGTCAGTTCTTATCACCCACACAGCAGTAGCTCACAAACTCCTGTCACTCCAGGTCTAGGGCGTCTGGTGCCCTCTTGTGGCCTCTGTGTGCATATACCTACAGAAATGCTCCTTTCCAAAGTGCTTTTTGTGTATGAATGCTTTTTAGAAGGAAAATGTGTGCATTTTCATGCTTGCTGCTAGAGACATTTTTTTTCCTTCCTCTTTAAATAACTTTTTTAAAAAACTATATAATGAGTCTACCAAAGTTTCAAAGTTGAGAGTCAAGGACTGCAAAATGTTCCCCTTTTCCTTTTTGTGACCAGTTTCTTTGCTTTCAATTATAATGCTCATAATGTGAGTTTTCACAATTTATTATTAAATTGAGTATTTATAAATTTGCATATGACCTTGGAGCATTGATCTTTAAGTTTGACCTAAGTTAGGGAACTTTAAGTCAAATCTCCAAATAAAAGAAATTTGCCATTAAACTCATAAGGAACTGTTCACCTGGAGTGGGTATTAAAACTACCAGTTGGATATCCATTTAGTGGAAATTGTATCAGTAAACATTTGAGATACAATTTTAATTCTTTTTTTAATTTACGATAGCTGTGAAAATGTGTTCCCATTAATAGAAAAAAAACCTCTTTGTATTTTTTGAGGTTTATCTTAGGTGTATTGGTGCTGGAATGTGCATCAGTATCACATGTGTACAGTGCCCTCCAAGGCCAGAAGAGGCTGTCAAATCCTCTAGAGCTGGAATTAGAGATGATGCTAGGCATTGTGTGGGTGCCGGGAATTGAACCCCGGTCCTCTGGAAGAGCAGGCAGTGCTCTTAAATGTGGAACCATCTCTCCAGCCCCAACTCTTTGTATTTTTAAGAATTAACATTTGAGTGCCAAGGATGTAGCTAAGTGATTGAGTTCTTGACTAGCAGGTGCAAGGACCTAGGTTTAATTTCCATCACTGGAAGGAAAAGCCAGTGTGAACTTGAAGAGTAATAAAGGAGTCTGTATTATCTTCGTGTGTATGTGTATGGATTCAACATGGTTTACATGTACAGATCTTTACAAAATTAAGTCTGAAAGCTCAGTGATAAATTCTATTTCTTTTTAACAATGTGCTTGGTTTTTGCTCTCTCTGGGGATGGAACCCTGTTCCAAGTGCTCCTCCACTGAGGCTGATCAACTTCCCTAGCCTTTGAGATAGTTTTCCCCGTTTTGCTTTAATTAGATGATCTTAGGAATTCTAAGCATTTGGAGTTTTTGTTTGTTGTTTTATTTTGGAGATCAGGTCCAGGGTATATGGCAGACCACTCAGCTACCACTAGCTCTAAATTATTGACTTTTAAAATAACTTTACCAGTTCCACTAATCTGAATATGCCAGACAATTTTTGTCCTCTATAAAAATAAATATAATGGTCTAAAATAGTGACCTAAATGTTCTAATGGTTTACCATAAAATTTAGAGGTTTCAGTGTTTCTTTACCTGTGTTTTTAAATTTACGAGTTATGGTTTTAGAAGACTCATACTGTCTGCACATTTATTTGGTTTTGAAGCATTGGAGGTACGTGGATGTGGGTCAGGTACACTTAAGGTTTTATGCTGGATTTTTAGGATTTTGAACTTTTCTTTTGTCCAGTTAGTTATCTTTCAGAAACTGCTCTGTTGAGAGGTGCCCTGCTAGAAGCTACATGGTTTGAAAAGTGCTATAGACATTAAGACTAAAAATAAAAAGGACAAAGGAAGCTTGAGCCTGAATGTAGGCCTAGGGGAGGGAAGAATGAAACTGTGTATGTTTGCTTGTTACATGTGAATAGATTGCTAATAACATGAATAGCAGGAGCTGCCTTAAAAATCACCACAGATGCTTGATTATTGCTTTGTGTACAGTGTGCAAGAAGACAGTCAAAGAAATCCCAGATTAGGAAATAGTGTGACCTTGAATCATAGGATATTCACTATTCCTCATTAGTGGAGATTTTTACTGTTTAGTTACTATTTATTTAGTTCCTTGCCATATGTTAGTGGTTTTGAGATAATTGTAGTGAATTCAGTTTTTAAATTATTCTTTAAACTTGTGTCTTTTGTTTAATTTCACTTAAGAGTTCATCGAAGGATATTACTGGGACACACTGGAGCAGAACCAGTACACCCAAAAGGAGAGACATGATGGTGTGTACTTCTGAAATGTGTGGTCTCAGATTTTTATGTGTTTATTGTTGATTTTCAGTGTTGTGGACATAGAGGCAACAGGAATAGGCTAGTGACACATGAGTTTCTACTTTGTTTTCCTGTGGAAACTTTAAAACAAATGTTGTCTCTAAGGTTCGATGACATGCCCTGACTTTGATTCCAAGATTATTTTGCAAGCCAAATCAGCTATGTGCTCTTCCTGGCTTTTGCTATTTTTCAAACGATGGCAGACAGTGGTAGCGGCCACAGAGATGAGGAGGGAAGCATCTTTGACCTTAGAACGGTTTATACTTTACATTTAAAGCCTTCCTTAGGCTGTATTGTTCTGTTATATCCTAAGGTTGAATCATCTTACCATCACTGATTCTGAATTTTGTTATTTGAAAGAAAAGTAGAGGCTGGGGGGTGTCTCAGTGTAAAGCGCCTGCACAACATGCACAAGGCTCTCAATGCAGCCAAAAGTTGGGGTGGGGGAGAATACAGCCTTTTGTGTGTTCAGGATGGGGTTCTGTCTCAGACTGCAGAGTAGCTAGGGCTACGTGTGCCTATCACTATGCCTGGCATAAAACAAAGTTTTAGTTACACGTGCAGCTTAGCAATAATTTCTACTAAGAAAGTAAAGCTTATATCTAAATATAATAGCTTTTGCATTTAATAATATTTTGTTTTTGAAGTAGTACTGTTTTGATTTTAATAATGACAAATGTTACCTTTTTCCCTTCTGTTCCTGACTTTTACAATGCAACCGACTTTCGCACTTTTCTGAAGTGCAGTACGATACCCTCAAGGACAGATCATCAAGGGTTCCGTCATTAGTATGTAGTGCATGACTTTGTGTTACGTGTGAGGCTTTTCTTTCTAAACACCAGTTATTGCTAATCATAGATTATGACTAACTTTCATGGTTTTGTTATAGTTTTTTTTGGGGGGGATGTGTAAAAAAACAAAAATGATTGTTTTTGCAGTTGTGGCATAATCAGATACTGGAATAATAGCTTTTCCCATAGTCTTCAGGGTCAGGCTGAAAGCGTGGCTCAGTGATAAAGTGCTTCCTTGGCATTACAAACCTGTACAAGCTCCCCAGTACTACAAAAACCAAAAATGCTTCAACTGGATCAAATGTGTGCTGGAAGAGCTGAGATTTCTGGCTCAGTAATTCAGTCATAGTTTCATCTTCCAAAGAAGAGCTGGTTCCCCGTGCTCACCTGCTGCACAGGAGGGCTGGTTTGCTTTTTTTTTTTTTTTAACTTCCTATTTATTTATTTTGCCTATGTCAACTTGTTGGAGCTGGTTCTCTCCTGCTACCATGTGGGTCCCAAGGATTGAACTCAGATCATCCAGCATCAGACTGGGCAGCAAGCATCTTCATTTTCTGAGCCATCTATTTCTCCAGCCCTCTGAAAGTGTTCTGAAACACCTGTGCTCCATTTCATGTGCCATAGGCTGGCGGGTTACTAAATAAAATAGCCAGCAGTGATGGGTGGCAGCTGTAGATGTCCAAGAATTTTAGCTTGACATATTGAATTAGCTAAGGAAGTCAAACTGGCTTGGTTTTTTTTCTTTGTTTGTTTGTTTTTTGGTTACAATTATGTTAGTAGATTGCCCAAGTTTCTAGGCTGCGTAGTTTTCACTTAGATGTTCACAGTAAAGTATGAAAGATTATTCACAATGAGAAAATGAGCATGTCCTTCCTGTTGAGGATCTGACTGTGTGAAATGGTTTTCCTAGTACAGCCTGTCACCCTTGGCTGTTCTAGGGTACTGCACAGTCTCACTACATAGATTGAATTTATTGTCTGCTGGTTGTTGTTGAGTAATAGTCCTGATCTTTGTCCCCCTGGGAGAAGTGATGTCTTTATATAATCTTGTTTCCAAAGTACTTTGTGTAAACTTAAGTATATACACTATAGGTATTTCTCTTCTGAATGGCTTATGCCCTGGCTCTGCTAACTTGGTCTGAGGGCTAGAGAAATGTCTCAAGGGTTAAGAGCACTTACTGCTTCCAGAGAACCTGAGTTCAGGTCTCAGCATCCATGCTGGCTGGTTCACAACAACCTCTAACCCAGTTCTGGGGATCCATGCCCACATAGACCATAAATACATAATTACATACATATAAAATAAATAAAATAAATCCCCCCAAAAGAGTGTTGTTTTCAGCAATAAAATGTTCTTTTGGTTTATTTACAATACAACATTGTTTTTGCTTTTAGATAAGATGACTAAATTAGGAGGAAGAATAAACTCACCACCTATAGCTTCCTAGAGAAAAAGAAATGGGGGACAAGACTCGAGTAAGGTGTACAATGTAGCTGGATTTTTCTTTGGGCCACTAGCTCACAAATAATGGCATGGAGACTTATTAATTATGAAAGTTCGGCCTTAGATTAGTCTTATCCCACTGCTCTTATAACTTAAATGAACACTATTTATTTATTTATTCATCTAGGTTCTGTCATGTAGCTCATTCCCTCTTCTCTCCATTCTGCTCATGCTGCTTCCTCCATGCCTGACTGGCGACTTTGCCTTCTTCCCCCCAGAGTTCTTTCTCTGCTTGGAAGTCCTCCCTAACTATTGGCTGTTCAGCTTTTTATTATACCAATCACAGCAATATAATTTCACACAGTGTACAATAGTCCCCATAGACATCCTTCTGACTCTCTGTCCTAATAGGTTCCCTTTAGCTGGCCAGACACCAGGTTAGTTAATGGACACAAGTCGAGTAAGAGAGGGTGATGTGTCTCCAGACTGTATATATCAGCCTTCCAAGTTCTCTCAGTCTGGTACTGACAGGAATTAGGTTGCATGCATACTACTCTTTATCATATGTGCCTTTGCTATTATTTTATGATGAGTTTCATTCTTAAAATTTTACTACATGGCCATTAAAGTTGACTCAACAATTTTTACTTGCAGAATTATTCTTACAGTCACACCTATGGGATGAAGAAGCGATCTTCTAGTTCTCATAAAGACCCCCTGGTTAGTTCTACTTTGAAGTTTGATCTAGTTGTGATATTATGGACAGCACCAAATTACAAGTGCTCAAAGTTTGTTTTTTAGAAACTTGGAATGCACAATGATGTGTGTGATAGAGAGTTCCCATGTGAGAGCTCCCAAACCCTGTTAGCTGTGTGATCACACTGCAGAACTAGCAGTCACCGGGGTGCTTGGAACACCTCTTTCTCCTTATTGTGCTGTTGGCGGAAATGTAGTCCCTACCTTGCTGCCAGTTCTGGGTTCCCACGGGAGTGTTGGGAGGATGTACCTAGTAGGGAAGAGGGAGGCAGAGAACGCTGAAGGCATATACAGAGAGGCCTTGGTATATGGGAAGGACTTGGCAGTTTTGTGCTCGGGTGAGGTGTCGGGGAGGTGTGAGTGATGGTGAGAGCTGTGTGGGGGGAAGGGGTAGAAGCAGGGGCCCTGCAAGGAGTGTCAGCGGTAGGGAAGGAAGGTTCTCAGCCAGGGATTCATACACTTGCTTAGCCTCTAGCAAGGGGGATTTGAGAGATGATTTCTCTAACCTAGTAAATTATAAAAGTAGTATTATTCAGTGGGCCTAGGTTTGTCAGGGGCATTCTTAACCGTAGAATGAGAATAACTCAGTTATTTGCATTTCATTTTTATCTGAGGGTTTTTTGTCTTATTTTTAAGGTAATAACAAGCAGTAATGACATTGTTTGAAGTAGCTCACCTTTAGTGCCCACCCCTTACAGAGGTTTGAAACCATTGCTGCTTGTCCTGTCTTTGCTCAGATCCAGTGGTTTAAAGGCATTGCCTTGGGGAAGAAGGAGCCTTAACAGGATCAGATTTGCCTGTGTATTCAAATTTTGTCTTGGTGTGCTTCAAAAACATTTAACCTGAAAAAAATATATTAAAATTTTCTTTTTGCAGAGTGGCCTCTATTTTGACCAGAGAAACTATAGCAGTCTTAGACATAGCAAGCCTGCCTCTACCTACTACTATCGGGTTTGTCCAAAGTCTTTGGTCTCGTGTACTTTACCCACCTTTAATACATCTCTAATCCCCCATTTTGCATTTAGACTATTTGTAACTAATTTCTTAATGGCTTGATATACCTGTATAGTTTTGGTAGCTTATTTATATAGTCCTTCTTGAGTGTATCTTCAGTGAGAACTGTTAAATCACCATGTTTGTAATGAAAATTTCAAATAGAAAAAGAATTTATACAGTGAGCACCATGTTCTTAGATTATTTAATTTACTTTCTTAGTCACATAATTATTTGTCTATCATTCCATTCCACCTTTTTTTTTTTTTAAAGGCAGTCTCACATGTATGTAGCCCAGGCTCAAACTCAAGATTGTTTTACCTCAGTCTCCTAGTTGCTGGTGTTAAGGCGGGGACCATAATGCCAAGCTTCTGTCTAGTTTTTTGAGCCATTTCAAAATAAGCTATAAGTATCAATACACGCCCTAATAGATACTCTTTTAAGAAGTTAACATGTGAAAATCTAAGCTACATATAGGATGAGAGGTATGTTATTATTTGCTAGAGTATTAATGTAATGTTAGAATCTTGTTTTTCCTTTTTGTCTGTTTTGGGGCTTTTGCTTGTTTTGTTTGTTTTTGAGACATGGTGTGTCTCTGTAGCCAAGGCCTGATCACCTCGCCTTAGCCACTTGTGTGCTCAGATTGCAGGCTAGTGTCTCCACAGTCAGCTAGAATCTTATTTTTTTCCAAGACATCTAACATTTAAAGCATACTGCAATGTGTGGTACCCAGTACATTTAAAAGTATGCAGGAATGGGGGCTAATCTTTGTGGTAGAATAATTCATTAGCACATGCAAGGCTCTGAATTCAATTTCAGGCACTGGAAAACACAGTCAACTGAAAAACCTGTCTGCACACACTATTTCACTATTCCTGTTTGTCTAGGTTTAGTGAAAAAGAACTGAAAATTGTGTCTTAAGTGACTCCAGGGAAAGAAGTGTAATTTCTTTACAGAAAGTACTTTTAGTGCATGAACTCTGGGGACTAGTTCAATTTACGTGGCTTCTAGCATGCTTTGTCCATGGCATGTTTTCAAAGATAAGCTTTCAAATCTATTTGGGAAAAAAATGGTGATAATAGTAACTAAGAGCTTCCTTACCTATAACCAAACCCATTAGGAGTCTGCCACAAAATAATCCACAATGCCCCAGAAACTACTGGTGACTGGTTTGAGACCACTGTTTGACACATTCCCAAGTGCCGTGGCCCTCTTTTCTTCAGTGCTTTCCTGGGTCCCTGTCTCATACCTGCCAAAAATGTCCTAATACCCAAAAGGTTGTACGTAATGATAGAAGTCTGCTAGAGGAGATTTTCTTTCTCACCCTTAACAGTTTGCACTCGGAAAGTGTCTAGTGACTTGTCTCTTACTTCGTGTGTTTTCACACTACGCTAAGCACTTGGGACTTGCTAATGAGTTATGGAATCGAAAACCATAAACGTGAAGTCTTGCTTGCATGATGGTGAGGTGCATTCTCCTGTGTTTCTGCTTTTGCTTATTTCTATTGCTCTGCCTCTCTTTGCAGTCTTCTTCCCTGTGCAGTGACCCGCTGGGGACATCGAGTAAGAACAGGGTTAGTACTTTCGAGGAGCCTGTGGCTGTCACAGCTGCCCTTGCCCTTCTTTAGGTTTAATTAGTGCACTTATTCCATAGGCCTCCTCTGCTGCAAATTCTGGTCTGCTGAGAAGTGCCAGCCTGGTTTGTATCTCCTTCTTGCAGTGTGTGCTCTGTGGTAGGGCCGCTGCCATGGCGCTGACTAAGCTGTGTGGCCTTTCTGCCACATGCTCTGCAGAGTACGCTGCCTGTGCTTAGGTTACAAAACTCAGGACGTGAAAAAATAATTCTGTTCTCTTTGCCAACATTGAAATGGATGACTTCTGGTAGCTTATGTTTAAGAATCTGTTTTCTGCAAGGAGATAAACTCCCTGGGTTCTACCACATTCACTTAGTTTTCTTTGGTATGGTTATGACCCTCAGCTGTGGCAATCAAAAGTCTACTAAATAAATCAAATTTAAAGCATGACCAGTAGCTTAGTGTGTGTGGCTGTTGGTGCTTCTAGCCATTTGATGTTCTAGCCAGTTTCTGAAGACTGGAACCCAGAGTGCTTATACCTGTTCCCTTCCCTGCTGTTTGCTCTTTTAAGAGAATAAATTAATTAATATTAGCTTCCTCATGTTATAAAGTGAGGGCAAAAGAAAATACTGTAGTGTTTTTTGTTAATCCAAGTGTATTGTTGAAGTTACAATGAAAATGATACAGCAAATGAATATAACATACCATCAAACATTTTTTGAATTATGAACTGCCAAATAATGAAGGTATTTTCAAAATAACTCCAGGGCTAAATAAGTAAATAATTATTCTTTTGTTCTTTAGGCATCATTGTCTGGTGGTGGATTATATAACCCTTATGGTTCTCGAACTGTAAGTGTAAATGGGAGGGGGTGACCACAGGAAGGGGCAGGAGTCATTTAGTCTGGCCCATTCATGCAGCCAGCTGTGAGAAGGTGACCATTTGGAGATCAGGAGTGACATATGAGGGGAGTCTTAGGGAAAGTCTTCAGGCATCTCCTCCGCTTTTGAGGGTGGGTGTGAGGTGGCGTGCCAAACAAGGCAAAGCAGCTGTTTTTACCTTGGGCACCAGAGTCAAGTCAAGGGTAGGGCCACTGTATTCCCAGCAGAAAAACGGAGCTGGCCATTGTTATAAAGCCTTTCTTCTTGGAAATGTTACAGCCATCTGAATACAGTTACTACTCATCGAGAGCGAGTTCCTCCCGGAGCAGCCCTGTGGTGAGCTCTCCAGCCTCTCTGCACACTTGAGGAGTGTCGAGTTGCTCTGCATTCCACTTTAGAATAGAGTGTGTTTCACCATCTTCTGCATGGGTTATGTGTCCCCAAGTCCATAAAAACCAACTACTAATATGTGCTAATTGACTGCTTTTGTGTGGACCCAAGTAATTTCTTAACTGAGTCTGGAACCGAGGCCTTTGGGCAGGCTTAAAGTTTTTGTATTGTCATTTATGTGAAACACTTTGCTAACTCCTGTTGGGTGTGCCGTTCTGGCTATCCCTGCGTATGTTCCTGCATTGCCTTTTCTGTCTGTGCAGTGGTGGGAGAAGTAAAACAAATCAGTTCTTAAAGCTTGTTATGTGCGCCTGCTACTCTTTCTAGAACATTACATTTATTTTGCAGTTTATAAGGTAAGTAATATTAGTAAAGGACAAGTCCAGAGTAAAGCTCCCCAGACAAACCCTTACATGTAACCTGTGCACATTCATGCTTTCAGAGATGTTCCGGACATGGATGAGTGCTTTTCATTTTGACCATAAATGGCTTCCTTTCTAGTATGTGTTACTTCTCCATGTTTTCTTAAAGTATCTTTCTGTGTCAGTGCATACAGATTTATAGTATCCCTTTTTGCCATTATTATCATCATTATCATCGTCATCATCATTTTAGACAATTAAGCTATGCCCACCTTTTCAATTATTTTCTCTTTGAGATGATTTTGTATTATCAAATCTTTTTAATATTAGCATACTATCACATGAATGTACAGATGTTATTTTTAAAAATCATTTTACTATTGATGGGTCATTTAGATGGTTAGACATTTTCTATGTGTACTCATGAGCTTTGCATGCACAAATGGAGGTCAGAGGTCAAAGTCAGGTATCTGTCTATTACTCCTCTCTACCTTGTTTGTTTAGACAAAGTCTCACTTAACCTAGAGATCACTGTTTTGGCTAGACTGTCAGGCCAGGGAGCGCCTGAGAGCCACTGTCCCCCCAGTGCGTACACTACCAGGCCTGGCTTTTACATGGGTGCTGGAAGTACAGATTAAAGCTTCATGCTTGCATACCCTCTCCCTAGCCCTGTGGTGAACATTCTTACACATGTTCTCTGCCCCTGTCTTTCCCTTCCTTTCACACCCGTACACATGCACAGAGAGTACATTTACATGAATATATCTGTAAGACAAATATGTATCAGGAAATGTTAGGAATATAAGAGCATATGCATTTTCAAAAGAAGATTAGTTTTATGTATATAAATGTTCTGCCTACATATACATGTTTGTACCATGTGTAAGCCTATGTCCACAAAGGCTTGAAGAGGATTTTGTATCCTGGAACTGTACTTAGAGGAGATTGTGAGCTACCATGTGGCTGCGGGAACCAAACCCAGGTCCTCTGAAGAGCAGCAAAGGATATGTGCTGCTGAACCATCTCTCCAGCCCCTCCCAGGTTTTGAGGCAGGATTTTACTGTGTAGCTCTGGAGAGACTGGGACTCACTCTGTAGACTAAACTGACCTTGAACTCACAGAGATCTGGCTGCCTCTGCCTCCTGAGTGCTGGGATTAAAGGTGTGGGTCACCATGCTCAGAGTGTATGTGTTTCAATTTTGCTATATCTGACCATGTTGACAACTAAAAAGACTGTACTCATTTACATTTCCAAAGTAAATGAGTGCTTTCAGCCTACTAGCTTGTTATCCTTACAGATTATACCAAACTGGAGAAATTAATAATTATCAGGGAAAAGAAGAGTTCTGTGGGCTTTTACATTTAAAACGTTTGCAGTTCTGCCCTCCAGAACAGCAGTTCTCAGAGAGCCCACCCTTGTACTTAGTAAATACTAACACGGGTGTATTTAGGGCATAAGGGCTTTGTCACAAAAGAAGGATGTTTACTCTTATCCCACTGTGTACTCAAAATTCTACTTGGCAGTTTTCAGACCTGGTGACATTTTTAATATGTCAAATGTAGTGTTCCCCTGCAAAAATTTTTGATAATGTATTTTCAAAAACACAACAGTGCAGGTCCTTGCTCTTGTGAGTTGACTAGATTCTGTTTCATTTGCAATGCGGGTTCAGAATTACTACCTTAGTGATGCCAAAATGGCATCTTAGTGACATCAGAATGGGGATAAAGCAGTAGGCCGAAGATGAGCTCTGCAGAGCGGGAAGAACACAGTCCTGTGACGGGGTAATAGTACCATCTGCGCCAGCTGCGGAGGGATGAGGACCAGGAAGTGAGTCACTGCCTCAAGGACTCTGTTGGTAGGAACTTCTTTAACATATGTTATTTCATTTAAAAATATTTTTTCCTTTCTCAAATTGAAATCATAAGTATATTTATTGACGTCTCAAGGGACTTCACAGATCTGCAAGTCTAAAAATACCATGACCTCCCTAGCTGATTTCGTCTAGTTTACTCATACCCTCACCAGTGTTTCATGTTAATAAAAGAGAGTTTTGCTTTATTCTTTGTGCTTTTGGGGAGTATTTTGACTTGTAGTGATACTTCATTATGCCTTATAGCAGCTTATCTCTTCTAACGGGGTGCAGCGGCTCATGTCAGTTACAGTGTGTAATAGAGTGGCCTTCTAAAACTCTCCCACGGTGTTTATAGTCCACGAGAACAGTAGAGAAACTGAATCTTTTTCACTTTCTTAGTCTATCGACGACGACACCGCAAGCATTGTGTCTTCTGATCGTGCCAGTTGTGGGCGAAGGGACAGTGTGGTGAGCATGGTCTGCATGAAAACAGTTACAGCTGTTACAGGACAGTACTGTATGATTATGTGACATTTACTGAAAAGTGAAGTTTGTGTTTTCCTCAAATAGAGTTTATGTGCACAGTTTGCTTTGCCATGTTGTCGAGAATGACTCACGAGTCTCAGGCACAAATCGTTTACTGAAAACTTTCACCTTATCTTGTTAGAGGGAGGGCCTGCTTCTTCGTCCCAGCCGCCCAGCTAGCTTAGCCCCAAAATAACCACACAGAAGCTGTATTAATTAAAACATTGCTTGGCTTATTAGCTCTAGCTTCCTATTGGCTAACTCTTATATTAATTTAACCCATTTCTATTCATCTGTATATTGCCACGTGGCAGTGGCTTCCCGGCAAAGATTTGGCATGTCTGATTCTGGTGGCTCCATTGATCCTCCCCTGACTTCGCCCTTCTTCCTCCCAGCATACAGCCAAGCTTTCCCTGCCTAGTTCTGTTCTTCCCTGCCATAGCTATGCTCAAAGCAGTTCTTTGTTCAATTCAACCAATAGAAGCAACACATAGACAGAAGGACCTCCCACACCATTATCTGTTGTTTTTTATGCACACATTTTATCCGCTTATTTTCCAAAAACGAGCCTCTCAAGCAAGAGTCACACATACACCATCGTACATTACTCGTGTGTGAGACTGTGACGTTGTCAGCTGTCAGTGGCAAGATTGAAAAACATCAATTCAGACATTTCACCCAGTTAATCATTGTGGACATGGTAGGACTTCATGCTATTCTTTAATGACGCTGCAAGTGTCGCAGGGTGACGTCTTTGTTCTCTATAAGGAACTGATGTGGAAATTAGAGTAGAGGACTGTGTCAGCATGGAGCCACATGAAGAGACCTATGAAGCTGTCATTTCTTCCAAAAGCGGTACAAACTCAGTGTGCGCAGTTGTAAACCAAAGTTCTCCTAAAGGAAACACCACATGTTTGTGTGAGATAAATTCATATGATTAAAGCATCTTTGGTTCCTTAGCCTTCCAGATAATATTCATACTCATGGCCGAAGGAGAAATAAAAGTCATAACACCTTGGAAGCAATGGAAATAGGGACTTAATAGTGATGGGCTTGCCTCAACCTCAATAACCTGTTAGTTGTTTCTGTCCAGTGGAGATGGCTGTCTTCTCTGTTGTTAGACTTAATACCTGTACTCAGTGAGTGACTCTGGAAGACACCTTTCAAACCTCCAAGGTAGTAGGTGCTAATCATATATTATATGTAATCAAGGTGTAACGAATAAAAATATCCTTGCTTGATTTTGTTAGCCATTGGCAGATGTCTTGTTCCTATGGATGGTTTCTTGGTGAGGAATTTTAGAGCAAGGCAGACAAACACTTGGAGTAAGAATGACTGGTGGGTGGGTGCGGCCACTCTACGGTGGAGGGCAGCGTTGAGAGCACCAGGAGTCATTTGTTCAGCCAAGGACAGAGCTCTTATTTCACAGGACTTTTGTTCTAGGAAAAGACAGAAATAAACTAGTAAGGAAAGGAGCACAAAAGGAAGACAGTTCAGGGTGTGAAGAAAAGAGCAGGTGACTGTGACAGAGGACCTTGAGGTGGGTGTGTCCAAGGGGTGACCCTTGGAAGAGTGCTCAGAGACAGTGGCTTCTGATAGGAGAGGCTCGGCTGTTTGAGTGGCAAGAGAGGGCCTTTACAGGCCAGTTTTTCTCATTGTTTTGTCTAACAGTTCCTGATATGACATGTGAAAAGGAAGAAATTATTGCAGAAATTGAGTATTGCCAGAGTTGATGCTATAAAGAATTATAATATTATAAAATATAGTAGAGATTTGATAGTGGTCTCAACACTGCCCTCACCAGTCGAAGATTCCCAGTGCTTCAGTGTGGAAGGTGTGCTTGTCATGAGCTCAGGCAGAAAATGGTCTGTAGCGTAGACTTGCACTTGTACTGTTGAAAGAACTTACTCTAGGGAGCTGTGACTTCATTCATTCATTCAATGACTTCAATCATTCATTCATACCTCTTTTTTACTTTTTGAAATAGGTCAGTTGTAAAAGTTTCCTCATTTCACGATACTTTATCAAACATCAGATTAAGACAGGCACACAACTTTCCAGTTAGCTAGTGTTCTTTTTCTCTTTTCTGACGTTTAAAGTGTCTCATTTTCTCTGGCTGAAAGGTCTCTGCCGCTGATTGTTTTAGTCGCTCCAGTCGTAGGGGGAGTGTTGTCTCTGAGGTGGATGACGCCGGCATCTCAGACTTGACCAGCGTGAGTGTACTGCATGGGTCATTGTGTTGTCCCAGGCATGCGACTAACTGCTTATGTAGTAACTATTTTTAAAATTGGGAATTTAATTAACTCCTTAGACATATTTACTTGAGCATATTAACATGAAACATAATTATTTTGGAATATATTTGTTAAAATGTTCTCTAAAATCCCTCTTTCTTTTACCCTGTGGATTCCCTCATTAGCATCTTCAATGATTCCTAATTTTGTTTCGTATGGTTTTTTTTTTACTATTCTTTCTATCTGAATTGTTTTAGAGTCAATCCATTTCCGTCATGTCATTTCCTAACAGGTAGCTGATATGCATACCTAACCCTTCACCTAAGGAAATAAACAAGTAGTTTCCTAACACTAGCCTTGGCCCGTATTCAGGTGCTTCTGGTCTACTTTTTGCCCCCTGCTTGGTTTTGATAAACCTATATATAAAGTCTTATATTTTAAAAGCTGGATAATACAGTACGCAGCTTGGCAAAGTGCCCCATGTTCAGTAACCGGAAAAGAACTGAAGAGATTTTTAAAGTGGAGTCTGGCATTGGTCTGAGGCATCCTTCCTAGTGGATTGGGGGCTGAGGTGGGAGTCGAGTGTCCATGGGGGCACCTCTGGCTACTCCACTCTGCATGTACTTTGTGACCTGCCTGCTGAGCTCATCTCACCAGCCCCTCCTCACCTGGCTTGGCATCATGCAGACAAGTCCTGTTCTGATTGCCCAGCACTGTGAAGGGATTTCTCCCTGGTTATGCAGAGATCGTTTTTTATTAGCACTTCACTTATGAAGTAGCTATTTTTGAACTATTTCAATCCTAGAAAATAATCGTAATTATTTTAATTGCAGTTCTAATTATTCCACACTACTAACTTAAATCTGGCCATATAGCAAGAATCTTGCTGTGGATTAAACCAAGGACTTTGTCTATGATGAAATCAGGAGCTGGCTTCCCAGTTATCTGAGATGTTGAGTATTTTATTAACCTGCTTAGCAACCTCTTTTTAATTTTTAAAACATTTTCATTTATTTTGTGTATGTTCATGTGAGCATATGGCAGGGAGCACATGTGTAGGCCAGAGGAGAGCTTGCAGGTGTTGGTTTTCTCCTTCTTTTACGTAGTCCTGAGCATTGGACTCATGTCATGAGGCTCAGTGGCAAGTGCCTTTTACCTGCTGAGCCACCTCACTGGTCCATTGGTACCTGCTTTTTTCATAGATATAATTGAATTTACTATATAGATGTGTTTTCTTGGTGGCTTGTTTTCTGTCAACCTCACAGATCATCTTGCCTGAATTAGTAGTCATAGCCTTTGTACACTGAGTTCTTGGCGGTTTGCTTTAGTAATTATGGAGACATGAAGAACATTACAGTTTGTCTCTTACTGCCTCTATTAATTAAATACCTCTTTAATGTAGGCAAAAGATTGTTTAGAACAGGGCTTCTCCTGTTATTTTATAGCCTGAGAGCCATTGCCTTTTGTATTTTTAAATACCTATAGAAGATCATTAATTTTGCTTTTTGATAATTTTTTGTTTGTTTTGTTTTGTTTTTGAGGCAGGGTTTCTTTGTGTAATAGTCCTAGCTGCCCTGGAACTAGCTCTTATAGATCAGGCTGGCCTCGAACTAACAGAGATTAACCTGCCTCTGCCTCTCTAGTGCTGGAGTTAAAGGTGTGCGCCACCACTGTCTTCTAAACAGGGGACTTTCTCTAAATTGAAAAGCCTATGCTTTAGTTCACCTCACTGAAGCAGGTGAAAGGGAGTTTGTATTGGTTGATTCTTCCCCGTTCCCAGCTCTGCCTTAGCAAGATGTTTTCTAGCTGCCATGTTGTGGACCCACTGTCTGCTCACACGGTGATAATCCTGGATCCAGGAGGTGCTGGAGAAAGGTGCCAGCCAGTTGTACAAGACTACAGGATTGATATGCTGTAGCTTCCTGTCTTGCTCTGTAGGCAGGCTAGCATAAAGGAAAAGAGTCTAACTGTGTGCTGACTTACTGCTCATTGCACTTGTTTTTAGAAAGAAATCCTTAGCCAGATTCACTTCAGGAAATCATTAATCCACTTTTCTCTTCCCTTCTCTGTTATGATCAGATCCACTTCCTGTATTTTGTTTGTTTCTTATTAAACAAGTTTTAGATAACCTTGTCATTATTAGCATTATTATGTTGAGCTTTCTTGATACAAAAATTCAAAATTCATAATGTTTTAAAATCTAAAAGTTTTTATGTACCTTCGTTGTGTTATATAAGCTAGGTTGTAGCCAAACTTCAGTTCACACTGAATATATATAAATAAATAATATATATTATATATATAATTAACTTATGTGTATAAAGTGTGAAATGTAGATGCATTCTATGTTTAGACTTGGGTACTAAGATATCTTAGTGTGTGTATATATATGATTATTTCCATAGTTGGAAAAAAAAATCCTAAAGTTGAAACACTTCTTTTTACCAGGTATGTCAAATGAAGGATATTTAATAGAAGTTAATGGATAATTGTAATCTAATGGATACATTTAACAAACTACACTGTAAATACTTTATTTAGAGTATGCTTTTATACCGTAAGTGTGATTAAACTTTATTGCATTTTAAAAGCCTTTTCAGGATCTGGCAGGTACCGTTAGTCATTTATTATAGACATTAGCTTGTCATTGCAATACGCCTACATAGGTTCTGCCTCAGTGAGACTGAGGGAGTCTTTGGCCAAGTCAGTGCAGTCAACATAATTGGACTGCGGCATGACTGCTTTATGCTGGCTTACCAATTCCTGAGGTTTGGCGCATGATCAGTTTGTGTTGCGACAGATGGAATCTGTTAGAATACAGTGAACACAATAGATAGAGTCAGCATTGTGGAGGCGTCAGTGACGCGGCCTCTGAAATGTAAGATTATTCCGGCGGTGGTCTAGTAAAGTGGGTGAGTTCGGGGTCTTTTTTTTTTATTTATTTTATTTATTTATTATGTATACACTATTCTGTCTGCGTGTATGCCTGCAGGCCGGGAGAGGGCACCAGACTTCTTTACAGATGGTTGTGAGCCACCGTGTGGTTGCCGGGAATTGAACTCAGGACCTTTGGAAGAGCAGGCAATGCTCTTAACCACTGAGCCATCTCTCCAGCCCCGGGGTCATTTTTTTTAATGTGATATGAAAAAGGATTTCAGATGGACTTGAGTAGTTTAATTTTGAATACGTCTCTTCTTGTTAACCTATTAGCAGAAAAGAATTAGAAAATACTTATGAAAATAAGGCAGTTTATGAAGATACACTTCTTTACTTTGGATGGTTCTAACTGCTGGGCAGTGCTTTTCACCAGTGCCGCTCGAGAGGGGTTCTTCCTCATTTAGAGCAGAAAGTGACGGGATTGAAATCCCAGCTGTCATTGCCTGCTTGCTGTAATACATTTTGTGCTTTTTAAAGTAAGTCCAAATAAATTAAAATGATTTCCTTTTCAAAGTATTACAGCAAGAAATGAGACATCAAAACCCAGCCTTTATATCTCTGATAAGTGTATTAATTAAGTAAAAGGTCTCTATTTAATTTAAACATGATCACTGGGTAATAAAACATATGCTAGAAACTTTTACATGTGAGAAAGTTGGGATAAAGTCGTCTGAGCAATGCTTTCTGTTCTGTAATTAAGCTAAAGGAGGTTTTCCAACCTCCTTCCTGTGAATGGCTGTGAAGGCTGATTTCAGAGTTCAGGACTGGGGATATTTTATTTTCATTCAGTTTTAAGTTTCCATGTCACTTTTCCCACTATAGCTAAAAGCATATGCTGGAGTTGATGAAACACGTTCAGATCCAGCCGGCACAGCCAGAAAGTGGTCAGCCTCCAGCAAAGCTTCCCACCTCTGAATTTTTCCCGTAGTTCTAGTTAGAATTTTGGAATGGATCTTTAAGGAACCTTGCTTCTTGAAGCTGGTCTGAGAAGCCAGGAAGGCTGAATTAGCAGCAGAAGCCAGGCTAGTCTGACTGTGGCATGTTGAGATGATACGCCACTGTGGAGATGCCAACATAAGTGAAGCCTGTGAGTGCAGATGGATGGAGTGGATCCTGAGCCCTTCCAACACTACTGCTGTTCTTGTTCGAGTACAGAGAAGGATGTGCAGATACAAGGCTTGCATGCTAGAGGTCAGACAGCAACAAATGGAACAGCCTCACAGTGCAGGGAGAAGAAATGCTATGAAGAAAAATGAAGTATTTTTAAAACTTTGAGGCTTGGGGGAAAGAAGATGAACAATGTGTCTGCGACAGTGTTGTTAAGATTTTCAGAGACTTGGCGTTGGCTGTTCTTGGCAGAGCAGGGTCTGGTGGGGAGAAAGGCCGATTTCTTACACCCTTTTGTACTGCTTGAGTTTGCTATCTGTGTAAGGAAACATATGTTTATATAACCTGCTTTTGGCATTAAATAGTTTTATGCATGCATTCTGTGTCTTAATGTTTAAAACATTTTTATGGGGCTGGAGAGATGGCTCAGAGGTTAAGAGCACCAGCTGCGTGCGCTTCCAGAAGTCTGGTGTTCAATTCCCAGCAACCACATGGTGGCTCACAACCATCTTTAGAGGGATCTGATGCCCTCTTCTGGTGTAAAGGCATACGTGCAGTTAGCACACACATACATAAAATAAATAATCTTTTAAAAAAGAAAAGTCTTTAAAAAAAACATTTTTGTATTGATAGTTGCTCTGCTTAATTGAGCTTTGTATGCAGTTTTCTTTAATGTATTTATTAAATACCATGAAAAGAAAAATCTGTCTAAAGAATCTAAAATTTTGAATCCATGTAGCTTGCTTCCAACCTATATTCTTTAGGATATGAACTAAAAATTCTTGACATTTTGTTATAACTTTTATTTCAGTTTTATTGTGTTTACTTTTGATTCCACACATCACTGAACTTAGAAAACCCTGTTGAGATTGTTCATCTCCCCACAAAATAAGAGTCAGCACGCTGAACGTCTTCTTGATCTTCTTATCTCTCTTTTTTTTTCTAGTTGGATGAAAAATCAGACAAACAGTATGCTGAAAATTACACAAGAGTGAGTATAAAATTCTTGATGGGATGGAGCTCTCAAGGTCAGCCCCGCACTTCCTGGGACTCATTGGTGTTGTTCAGTATTATTGGCCAGTGGAGCTGTTCTTCCCATCCTCTGTTTCCTGTGCTTGACCTTCAAATTCCTCCAGCCTTAGATCATGTGAAAGCCCTGGGAAGAGAGAAGCCACATCTTATTTCACAGGACGTCATTCCTAAAGCTCTTGGCTACTCCTTTGATTCCCACTCTCTAAAAACTGATATTGAAAAGCCATTAAACATGGAAATGAAGTATCTAGGAATGAACCAACAAACCCATAGCTTTGATTTTTTTTTCCTTATAGATACCTCACTTCTCTAAGAAAAGTAGAACTCCCTTGTAGAGGAGTGCCTCTGCAGTAAAGTTTCTGCTTTCTAAACATTTTTTAAGAAGCCAGGGAAATGATCTACTGTATTAAATTTTATAATGCCAAGCAAAACTATAAGTCCATGCAGTTTTAATTTTTTAAGCCACACTCTAGAAAAAGCATTATAATAGTCGACCCAAATAACCAACACATTTCAACATATAATCAATGTAGATGTTCTGTTTTGTGATGTTTGAGTCAGGCTCCTAGTATATAACCTTGACTTCTGCCTCAGCCTGTTGCTGGAATTGCAGAACTGCACCACTGTACTCCACTTAAATTTATTATGAGGTACTTTGTTCCCTCTTCCTTCTGCAACAAGCCCTCAAAATCTGTGTATATTTTATACTTACATCTCATTTGGACTCACTAAATTTCAGGTGATTTCTTTTGACTTACAAGTATTCCAGATAGCACAGGTCTCTGCTATTTGTTAGTCAAGAGTATGGTTTTGGAGAGAACAGTCTAAACTTAATAGCGTGTACGATGTTCTTTTCTTGCTCTTGGCTACAAATAGGTTCATCTTTCTCGGTGGAGATGAGCTGCTTAAGCCATGTTAGGAGCGAAAGTAGGGAAGTGCTAATTAGACATTAGTTAGGAATTTCTAAAACAACTCTAAATTAGCCTGGCAGCTCACCTGAGTGGTGTTTGAATGTGACAAAAGCCTAGAATACAAAAGCTTCTTTAAGAATTATTTTCACGTATGAATTTTGAATTTTAGATTCTGATAGTGTTTGAGGTAATGAAATGGTACTTGGTATGACGAGCCCCTCTTCTCTCTGCAGACCTATCGAGGCTGACAGTGGGAACTGCTCCTAGTGGTCTTCTTGACTGTGTTGTTAGAATGTTCATCTGAAGCTCACCTGCTCCCACCACTCTGCCCAGGTTCAGTCTTCACAGCAAACGGTTTTAAAGAACAGCTCACAGTGTCATTGTCTCTCTTTTTCAGCCTTCATCTCGAAATTCTGCCTCAGCCACAACACCTCTAAGCGGAAACTCATCCAGACGGGGCAGTGGGGACACCAGCAGCTTGATAGACCCAGACACCTCGTTAAGTGAACTGCGGGTAAACCATAGTTTGTCTGCCTTGGCAAAGCAGCTTTGGTTTCTTTGTAGTTCATGGAGCTTTTAACACTTAATGTGACTTATGAGGAACAAATAGAGTTTCTGTAAAGGCCTGGTCATCACCACAGCTCAACATCCCGCTTGGATGTTTCCGAGCAGAAAGGAAGGGATTAGATCATTCTTTCTTCAGTTATCTTTCCTGAAGATGTGAGGGCATTGGAATGGGTTCAGTCAATGACAAACAGTTATGTGACATATATGAAAGTAATTCTTTAAGAAGACCTTGCCATGTTTTAATTGGAAAATTATTAGCCTTTGACTATGGAAATTACTAGCCTTTTGAGTCATTATCATATTAGGTACTTAAATATAATTTCTTAGTATTTCATACTAAAGTATAGTATTTGTCAGCAGAAATGCCTGAGCTAGTAGTAAGTTTACTTGATCCATTAGTTACATCTCCATCCACTTATAAACCCTTTTATTTGGAAGACGAGAATGTACCAAAAATTATGTTGATTGTCTTATTTGCTGAATCTATTCTGAGTAACAGATCAAGACTTGTGAGAAAAACTGCAATCACCTACCCACTCACTCATTTTCTCTTGTTTGTGAACACTTGGCAGTGGACATGTAGACAGCCAATCATGTTCTGCCCTTCAGGAGATCACTGTTCACTGAAAAGATTTGAACCGGTTAAGCCAGCTAATACTAGACAGTGATACCAAGAACAGGATAAGTTAGTTCAGACAGGCATTGTGTAAATTTGACTAGGAACAGAGAGAGCACAAGACTTTTCAGAGAAGCAAGTTCAGAGCTAAGTCTTGAAGAAAGAATAAAAATAAAGCAAGGAAACTGGAGGGGAGTCTCTCTTGAATGAATTCAGAGAACTTGAGGGTTATTGGTATAGAAGACTTGGAGAGTTTAGGGTAACAAGGAAGGAGGAATTGCTGGTGAAAGAAAGCAGGGGGTGGGGGTCTGGGGGTACAAATCACAACTTGCTGTATTGGATAGGAGAGCAGTATGATTTGATTTGCATTCTTAAAAGTAACTCCAGCCACAGTCCTGAGGGAGCATTAGATGACAGGAGAACATAACCCAAGGCTTGAACAGTGAGGAAGGAAGAAGTGGGCAAGTGAAAACTTCAGGGGAGGAAATGCAAGCCCTGAGGTGACTTTGCAACACTAGGATTAGGATGGGCAGTCTGTCAAGAGAGATGGAAGATCAAACAGGTATCTGCTTTGTTTATTTTCTTTCCTTTTCTTTTTGTAAAGTAAGGTTTCTTATATTTCTATGGGTTGGCTGGAGCAGGTGGGAAGGGAGAGTTGAGGGAGAGCAGGCTTACCTGGAGGGCATGCCTGTGGCCATGCCTTCCCACTGCCACTGGGCAGGCGTCTGTCTGTGAAAGTGCAGGGCAGCGGGTGAGGAGGAGTTGTAGAGCTGTGGCAGGCAGGAGAGTCGATGGGTGGCATCTATGCCTTGGGAGATGTCAGTGTTCTCCCAATAGTTTGAACTATTGACCAGAGTTTGACTAAGGAAAGTCTTGCTTTAGGGGCTGCATTCTCATGAGACAGAAGGACACTGAGACAACTTCTTCCAGTCTTGGCCTTAGGTTGCTCTTTTATAGACTTAGCCTTTATCTTTTTCCCTTGAAAGAATAATCTCTGAGAAAGAGATGAGCTTTTGGGTCCTAGTGCCTGACTCCTGATGGACCCCTAGGAAAATGCTTGTTGAATGGATCAGTGAGTGCAAGGCGGGCTCACCTGTCACAGAGGGAAAGCACAGAGCAAGATGGTCTCCAGCAGTCCATTCTGCTGCCGTTGCTGCACTCGGGGTCCTGTTGCAGTTATAGCCTACTTGACTCTACATGACATGATTGGACTTAAGAAATAATATTTTCCATTTAAAAGTTGGCTTATTTTTTTTAAAGAAGAATTTATGGAAACATTTGGAACAAATGTTCTTCTCATCACTTAAAGATATCCTCTGAGTAGAATTTACCACTGGAAATTGTTTTCTTGTGTTTAATTTCTTTCTCTTTCTCCCAAATTAAAGTGCTCAGTAGCTAAGTGATTTAAAAGTAACATAATTTTTATACTGTATTATATTTTTTAAAACTTACGCATGAAGAATAAAATTTGTTTTCAATTAATTTACTATGTATTTACCAGTTGTAAGTGAAGTATTACACTAAAAATATTTGTGATTTATAAATTAAAAAACATTTAAAAATGTTAATATATATTGCCATATCTATATATCTATATCTCCATTTTCTAGTGCTATTTTCAAAGAATTCAGTGTCAAGGAAGTATTGATACTAGATTGATTTCTCCGGTTCCACTGTCATCTGAAGGATTTGCCTCTTGCAGTGGTTTGGGAATGGGGGGTGGTGTCCATATTTTTATGTTTGAATTTCTCTAGTTTTAGTCGAACTAAGTTGTATTTTCATCTGATTACTTTGAGTTTTAAGATATATTTTGCGACGGTTCATTCTTATGTCCTGCAGGACATCTATGACCTGAAGGACCAGATACATGATGTAGAAGGGAGATACATGCAGGGACTTAAGGAACTGAAGGTACAGGGCTCCTCGTAGCCCACGCATGCTCTGTTTGCAGAAGTGTTGGTAACTGTGGTCCCAGAGTCCATTAACCGGCTGCTCATAGCTTTACTAACAGTGTGTGTCCTTCCAGCATGTGCTTACCCGGCAGTACACAGGACAGGGCAGCTCGCTGTCCGGGCTGATTAGTTTAGATGGTAGTGTAGGTTTGGGGGAAAGTTGGAGCAGAAGATACTATAACTTGTACTTTTATTATTTTGAGACAGGGACTCTCTGTGTAGCCCAGGCTGGTCTCTTTGCCTTTGGTCCTCTTGTCTTGGCCTCAATGCTGGGATTCTAAATGTGTGCTGCCACAGCCAGCTCGTTACAGTTTCTATGACTTGAAAAATTTTAGTTGTCTCTTGGGTCTTAACCATACAACATTAGACAAACACCTAAAATATTCTAAGGATATTTTTTACTGAGAACTGGACCTTGAAAGTCTCCCCAGCTCAATGAAGGCATTGCCTGATTCTGCCACCAAGTCCAGTCAGTCTTAGAGGTGGGGAAGCCTTAAAGAAGGGACCTAAAGGCATGCGTACTGATTCTTTTCTTACCTGTATATAAGTTAAGATTATTTATGTTAGTGTGTTAAAGAATTCAGAGCTGGCAAGGTGGTGGTTCAGTGAGTGAAGTACCTCGCCACCGAGCCTGATGTCCTGAGTTGGATCCCTGGAACCCACAGGTAGAAGGAGAAAACTGCCACCAGCAAGTTATCCTCTACCTCCACATGTGTGCCCTGGCATTTGTGTATGTGCGCGCACGCACACACACACACGTACAAAATAATGTAATTTAAAAATTAAGAGATCTAATCTTAAAAAAAAATAATTTGGAGGTCAGTTTGAATGGCCTGTATCTCTTCCCAACAAGGACGTCTGTACTTGAAGTGTAAATGTGTCAGGCAGCCATTTGATTATGCCTCCCACCCCATGTTTCAGTATATAGTTCAAGCTGGATATTGTGAAGAAACTAGAGGTCTCATTAAACATGACAGGTCAAGCTTCTAGAGGAGCGAATGCAAGGCACTCTGATAGGTGACTCGGCACAGCCACACATGGTACCAAAAAGGACGAGAGTTCTCCTATGAGGTGTGCCCCTGGGAGCCTGAGGTGAGCTGTCAGTAAACATCAGGAGAACTCAATCAGTTAATGGGCCCATTTATTTTTACTAATCTAAATTTTAAGGTTTAATCCCCCCTTTAGGGCTTAGTGGTATAACTTACATCTTGCATCAGGGGAACAAATCTGGTACATTAGATACATATATACTTTCTCAATGTCTTATACAACAGCACAGCCAGACAGTGATCACATGATTCAGAGGAATTCCTAACTTTTTTGTTGTTGTTTATTTTATTTAAAACATTTTCCTCTTATTTTATATTATAATTTATTAAATTCCTTGAATAAAAGTGCCAACAAATTTGAAATTTGAACAGGTAAGATGCCGTCTCTTAATTCTTTTCTGTGAATGATTGGACTTGACTTTAGATTTCTATTTATCCTTGCAATGATTCATTTAATTGGAAAAATTGCAACAAAAATGTATCTGGTTGGTGACTGACCTACTAAAAAGGGCTGTTGCTTTACAACTTATAATGTTGTTCATGATTATTATGTTTGCTTTTGGAGTATTTTCCCTAGACTCACTGCCACCTTCCTTTAATAAGGAGTGTTAGAATGTTTTTTCCATGCCATAGAATAACCTGGTAGTGTGCACTATTGCTCAGAAAACAGTAAAATAGTATTAAAAGGATGAATGATATAAACATCTTTAATGATTTTATAAAGGACTAAACCTATTTTAAAAACTATAATACTTTATTGATTTTTAAAACAGAATTATAGAGATTCATAAAATAACACAATTTACCTGTTTTTAGTGAGTACAAGCTTTTCATGACATTGAAAAGGTAGGAAGCTGTTCTGTGATGTTTCACTCTTTTGGCTTTTTGGTCATTTGGTGGGGCTCACCACCCAGCTCCCAAATAAATCACACATGGGGGCTTATTCTTAGTTATGAATGCCTGTCCTTAACTTGGCTTATTTCTAGCCATCTTTTCTTAATTCTTAAATTATCCCGACCTCCTTTTGCCTCTGGGCTTTCTCCTTCACTTCTGTATATTTTACTTTCACTCTTAATCCTTTGCTGTCTGCGTGGCTGGCCGGCCCCTAGTGCCTTCCTCTCCTTGTTCTCTTGCTTCCCCTCCTCCTTGGGTCTCCTGTTTATCCTCTCTGCCTGCCAGCCACACCTATCCCTGCTCCTGCCTCATTTTTGGCCATTCAGTTCTTTATTAGAGCCATCAGGTGTTTTAGATAGGCAAAGAACCACAGCTTCACAGATAAACAAATGCAGCGTAAACAAAAGTCACACACTTGAAAATAATATTCCCCAACAGGAAGTTGTGGAACAAAATGTATGTATATAGTTTATATTAAATAGGCAAGAAGGTGTGTGTACACATGAGAACAGGAAACAGCCTGACTCATGGCACTGCTGCCTCTGCTTGGAGTATGGGCAAGGAAGAATTTTGCTTAATATTTTTTTTTCTCCCATAAAATCTTACCACCTTTTTTGCTTAGGTATTTTTTAAGAGCAGTTTTTAATTAGTAGTTAACATTTCAGAATTATTAGATTATTAAAACCTAGTGTTACATTAACTTTCTCTGGGGACACTTAGTGCAACTGGTCTACTCACCTCAGATAGCACAACAGCAGCAGCCCTGCTTGTGAAGCTGGTGAGCTTCTGGGGCATACTTCCAGGGGCGTGGGTGACCCCCAGACAGTCCCTTCACTGAAAAGTCACCCCATCGGGGATTTAGCCTTCGCCATCGCTGCATAGGCGCTCCCTCCAGTCCGTATTCCATAGTGCATATACTCGTGCGCCTTCCTAGATTCTGTGCATCTGGAGCAGAAGTATATTCAGCTGGCAGGGAGGTGCAGAGGGGAGGGAATGGCTGGGAGTTTTAAGTGAGGATCTAATGACCCCTTTTCACTATTTGTTATGAGAAAATGTCAACAGACCCAATCATTTCTTTTTTCTTTTAAATAGGTGTATTTGTGTGTGCGCAGGTAGAGGCCAGAAGTACTAGAGTCACTGTTAGCTGCCTTAACTGGGCGCTAGGAGCCAATATTTCCTCTTAACTGCTAAGCCATCTCTCCAGCCCCAACAGGCCCAATCTGTTGTGGTTAATTCCAATTGCTCTGATTAAGATGCTAATTGCAGTTAGGCTGAGTGGATGTGGTCCACAATAACTGTCTGGCCAACCTGCATTCCTTCAGTCTCTTTGTGTGGTTTTCTTCTATGAGATGAAGAGGCTTGGAAAATAGTCCCTGTTTTGACAGAGTTACCTACACAGGGAATTGTCTGCAGTAAGGCAATGTGGAGAGCTTAAAACCTAATACATTTCTAACTGACACTGGTGTTTCAAATCTGAGTACTGAACAAACAAACAAACAAACTGAAGTCAGGTGGTGATGGGGAGACAGGAGAGAAGAAAGGGGAGAGAGAAAAACACCTTTGGATGAACCAGGCTCAGTGGTACTCACTTGAAGCCATAGGTACTTGGGAGGCTAAAACAGGAAGATTACTTGAGCCTGTGAGTTCAAGACCAGTCTGAATGGCATAGCAAGAACCCCTATCTTGAAAAAAAAAAAATCAACTAAAAAAAACTTTGGGTAAGCAAAACAGCAAAAACCCAAACTATAAGATTTCAGATACCAGGATCTCAACCATATAGGTTTATAAAAATGTAGCATTCAGAAATTCCTCTCAAAAGCTGAGAGGCACAGCTGGATACTTCCCTTAGGCAGCTAGAATCTTTGCATCCTTACCTGTTGCTAGCTTCAGCAAGCAACCACTTGTGTCCAGCATAATCTTGATCTAACTAGAACAATCCTAGCTCTAAGAGATGAAGACACAGTTCTGGCTCTATGTCTCTGAGGTCCCCAACCCAAATTTAGCATCCTTTATTCTTCTAATCTCAGAAAGTATGTATTGCCTTTACAAGGACTTGACATTTTGGTGGCAAGCAGTTAAGATTCATCAGTTCCTTAGAATGTGCTGGTCACTATCTCGGCCTTGTATCAGTTTGTTGTATTTGTTCAGCTTGGATTTGAGAGGTTGAGAACAAGAGCAATGTATCTGTCTTTGTATAAATTGTCTGATATAAGTACTGCTTCATTTTTATTGATTAATTTTGTTTATGACTTTCCAGATAATGTTCTTCTGTACATACCTTTTATTTGTAGGAGAGCAAGAATAGATTATCTCTTTAAGTCCAGAAAAAACTGTTGAATGAAGAGTTAATGGACTAGGAGAAGAAATCTTATCAGCTATAAGTTGGTCAGTATGTGAAGTGTCTACTTTATGTAGGGAACTAAGAATAAAATAATGAAGGCACTTCCTGAACTAGTAGTAAGAGAGCTTCACAACTGGGTTATGAATGCTTATTGGTGGAGTAGTTGGACATAGATAATCAAAGCTTAAACATTTATACTGTGGCTTCGAAATGTGAGTATACTCCAGAGTCATCCCGTGATACTTAAAATAGAAATCTCCAGTCTCTCCCTCTGGATCTGGTATTCAATGGACCTGGGAAGGATAAAAAAATTTGTTTTCATAAAACTTGACTAAAAATGTAAGTAAGATTAGGATATTTTTCTACCTTGGCACTTTAGAAGTCTCTCTTTAAAATATTTTTATTGAGCTGGAGAGATGACTCAGAGCCCTGACTGCTCTTCCAGAGGTCCTGAGTTTGATTCCCAGCAACCACATGGTGGCTGACAAACTGTGAGCCATATAAACTCTATAATAAGATCTGGTGCCCTCTTCTGGCAGAACATAATAAATAAATAAATCTTTAAAAAATTATTTTTTTAGTGTTTGTGTATATATGAGTGGTTGCCCACAGAGGCCAGAAGAGGCATCAGAGTTTTAGAGTTGGAGACACAGGTACAGATAGTTGTGAGCTGTCTGTAATAGGTGCCAGGAATCAAACTTGGGACTTTTAGAAGAACAGCAAGTGTTCTTAGCCACTGAACCATCTCTCCAGCCCCATTTTAAGAGTTTGTTATGTGCTTTTTACAGGGAAATCATCTTGTACTAATTTCACATGGACCTGTTTGCATCATGTATTTTGTTCATGTGCCTAGTTTTTTAGTTTCCTTTGATTCTGTTACCCATGGATTCACACCCCATTTTATATGCTACTAAACTGTGATAAGGATTTTTTTCTACTGCTAACTTCTTAGCTGATATTTGATATTATATGAATAGATACCATTGAATCTGGACCTTCTTATAGTTGACTTTTTAACATATGCTTTTAGTTAAATGTTTTCAATACGATTTTTAATCATACCTGTATTTAGTTCTGATTTGTGAAGCATAGAATTACTAGGTCAGATGGTTGGACATCTGAGAAACTGCCCAACTGTTTCCGGAGTAGCCACTTCCACTTCCACCAGCAGTATAAAGAATCCAGCTTCATCATACCTCCCTAATCCTTTTTTCTTTCATGGGGAAGGAGCTTGCTTGAGGTTGAGGTGTGGTCTCTTCTACTGGACATTTGGCCTCAGCCCTGTGCCTAAAGATTTGATTATGGATTCTAGCCATTTTAATAGATGAGACATAGGATCACACTGGGTGTTTTTGATGCGCATCTCCTAATGAGTATTGGTGCTGAACATGCATCCTTGTACTCCTTGGACATCCATGTGTATACGTATACCCTCTTTGTGGATCTGCCCGAGTCTGTAATGTTCTGGATGGAAGTCAATTATCAGAACACTTACAAGTACTTCCTCCCATTCTGTGGGCTGCCATTGCAGTGTAAAGTTTTAAATTTTAATAAGGTCTCCCTTTTCTCTTTGACTAATAGTGCTCTTTGTGTAATTTTTGTTTAAGAAACCATTAACCACCCAGAGTCATGAAAACTGACTTCTGTATTTCCTTTAGAGTTTTAAGGTTTTAGCTTTGCATTTAGATCTTTGGTTCATTTTGAGCTAATTTTTGTGCCTGGTGTTAGGTCGTCATTCATCTTCATTCATCAGAACAGGGTTGTCCCAGCATCATTCACTCTTTCCCTTTGGATTACATGGACACCTTTGTTGAAAAACTGATTATATGTTAGGTTCTGGAGTCCTAGGTCTGTTTTACTGATTTTGGTTTGTTAAACATTTGTACTCATTTAAAAAAGTATCTCCAAAAGTGATTACTCTTCTGAGTTTTTCTTTTTATCTTTTAATAAGTCAATAGGCAATTGCAATTACAAAGTTACTTTTTTAAAAATACTGTATAGTATCTTAGGTAAAAATTTTTGAATTACATAAAATTTCAGGCACTGTGCAATTATTCTTAAATAATTAAAAATGTTCGTCCCATTTGCATTAGTGTTAAACACACTGAGGAAATACTGAAAACTGAAACCCAAGAACGGCAAAATTCCGAGAAGTGTGTGGTTGTGCTGAGAGAGGCTGTGTTCTCTCGAACTGCTGTGTTCTGAACACCAGACATCTACTTGTTGAAAACTACAAGAGAAGCTCTTCTTAAAATAAAAATGATTCTATCTACATTTACTACCTCTTAAAAACACGTTTTCTGCACACTTTTTCATTGCTACTTTATTTTGTGTTCTTGGCATGCAAAGAGAATACTTCCCGGAAAGGCATTAGTGTCTTTCCTACCGTCTTTCTGTTACATGTGCACGCTGCTAAACACAGAGTCCCTCGCCTGCTTGCACTGTGTGGAAATGCTTCTTTATATGTGCTAGGTCATGCTTTGCTCTTGTGTCACTCATGTGCAGCCACCAGGTTGTGGATATCAAGCTGATGATTTTTGTCATTTAGGAGTCTTTGTCTGAAGTAGAAGAGAAATACAAGAAAGCCATGGTGTCCAATGCACAGCTCGACAACGAGAAGAACAACCTGATCTACCAGGTGGATACCCTCAAGGACGTTATTGAAGAGCAGGAGGAGCAGATGGCAGAGTTTTACAGAGAAAATGAAGAGAAATCAAAGGTAGCTTGCACATCATATATACTATCACTTTCTTGGTCCTGAAAAATCAAAGTCTGCCATTTGAAGAAGATAGGGTTGGCGGGAAACTGCGAACCGAGTGCTCTGAGAAATTAGTCACTGCCCTAATAATTTTTTTCTGAAGGAAAACTTTTATCCTTTTTAAGTTGTTAAAAACTAGATTACAATTCAAGTAGCGTTGTTTGTTGTTTTGTTTTTTTGAGAAAAGGCTTCTCTGTGGTTTTGGTGCCTGTCCCAGAGCTAGCTCTTGTAGACCAGGCTGGCCTTGAACTCTCAGAGATCCCCCTGCCTCTGCCTCCCCCGGCTCCCAAGTAGTGTTGTTTTAGCTATGACAGTGATTTGGAGTTGCTGCTTTCTTTCCATCATAAGTGGAACGACACAGAGCTTAGTGAGATAGGTAGTTTTTTGTTTTTCTGTGAGCTTCTTGAGTTCATCAAGAGACTCCACTTCCAAAAAAGCAGTTCGTTTAGAAACAGCAGTTTACAGATGAGCCAGACACGGATAGGGGTTTTCCTAAGAAATTACATATAGTTGGAGAGTAAAAGCCACTGTCTAGTGCCAGATCTGCCCTGTTCAGCTGTAGCAAAGAAACTGGGGTGTGTTAAGAGTTTTTTGAACCTGGAAATTTTGAAGTGTTGGTGTCTAAGCATAGAATAAATGGATATTATTGCCAGAGATTAGTTACTGCTTTATTGCTAATACAGAAAAAAAGTAAGAAAACGTTTTAGGAAATATGTGTTGATTGAATTGTTGAAAATGGTCATCTGGATTGTGCATAGTAAGGGAGCCAGTTGTGTTGTGTTTGATGAACTTCCCTGGTGATGGTTTCCAGAGCAGGCTCGCTGACTGAACTGAGTGTACTGCTCAGGTGTGTACGTTAGTGACATAGCAGAGACTGCAGCTATGGGGACAGGAGATATATGGTAGTTTCCTCTCAGTTTTTCTGTGAACCCACAGCTACTCTCTAAAGGCCTATTTGAAAATGCCGCTAGGGTCTAGGTGTGTGAAAATAAGGTATCTTCCATGTTAGGTCAGTGATGGCCCACAAAGAGGATGTTTTGGAGACAATAACTGTGTTACTCTTTGGTATTCTATCCTAGAAAGCAGGTCAGAGGATTCTGAATCACCATGCATACTTGATGTGCCTCTTACAGTAGAATGCCATCTGCACAGATACACAGAGGGGCCAGCTTCTCTGATGTGCCTCCTGGCAGCAGATGCTGAGAGCTCTGTACTCAGCATGTTGAAGTTGTCACCAACCCTGTCTGGTGGGTGAAGTGGACCCAATTCTACAAATTGTGCTTGGACCTCCATGTTTGTTTGTTTTAATACACAAATAGTAAATGTATATTTTAAATTTAAAGATGTTTTTAGTTCTTGTTATTATCATAATAAATGCTATTTATTTCATTATTCATTTTCTTTAGGTTTTGGTTTTGTTCTTTGGAGACAGGGTCTCATGTACCTAGGCTAGCTTCAAACTTGCTAAGTAGCCAAAGACGATCTTGAGCTCCTGGGCCTCTTGCTGCCAGGTGCTAGGTTTCAGGGCCCCCCCCCCCCCCCCCAGCTTTAAACTTGTCTCTGTGTCTGTGTCGGCAGCAGAGCCCTGACTAGGAACGTGTGGAGCGTGTTCTCGGGACTGGGGCATAGCTCAGCTGACAGATGCCGGGTACCTGGTCCTTATGTAAAAGCCTGGTATGGCAGCACACATCTGAGTGTTCTGGGGAGTGACAGCTGAATGGATTCCTGCAGCCCACAGGCCAGCCAGCCCATGCAGTCCATGAGCCCCAAGTTCAGTAAGAGACTTGTCTCAACGATAGGGTGGGCACCAGCTGAGAAAGAATCTGACATTAACCCATGGTTCTCCCATACACATGCACATACGTGCGGGTACATCCGTTCATACATGTACATACCACAAACATACAAAAGTTTATTTTCTTAATACTTCTTTTAATAAGGAACTAGCTTAGTGACATCTAAACACATGTTATTACTCGGTGGTTAAGCATACTTGCTATTTTTCAAGGGAATGCAAATTTAGTTACCAGCACCATGAGATACCAGTACCATGAGGCAGCTCACAACCACTTGTAACTCTTCTGGCCTCTGTAGGTGCCGGTATGTGGCACACATGCATGCATGCATGCAAATATTCACACGTATACATAAAATAAAAATAAATCTTTAAAAATCTCTCTTGGTTTTGAGCATAGACGAAGTATGTGGAGACTCTAATGAGTCTTTCAGCTTTTCATTGCTACTTTTCCTCTTTCCTTGGAGGAATTCCTTTTATCTTCTATTTTTCTTAAAGATTTATTCCTTTATTTGTGTATGCATGCTTGGTGCTTGTGTAGGTCATAAGAAGGAATTGGATCCTCTGGAAGCAGAGTTAGAGATGGCTGTGAGTCACCATGTGTGTGCTGGGAACCAAACTCAGGCCTTCTGCAAGAGCAGCAAGTGCTCTTACCCGCTGAGTGATTGCTCCAGCCCTTGGAAATTCTTTTTAAGTTTAGTGATTCCTCTTTTCTTTTTATAAGCCAAGAAGACATATTAGCCAATTTTTATTAAAAAAGACATACAACATTTGAAATACATCTCAACACATGTATTTGTGGCCCTCCTTTCCTAGAAACTGGCAGCCCGCTTGTAAATGCTGCTGTGCTTGGAGCACACATATCTACACTCCTGTACACTCCTGTACATAGTGCTTATTCCATTGGGCAGACACTGCTCCACCAGCTCCCAGCTCATGGGCGTTCAAGTTGTTTGCAGTACTTGCTTTCCTGAAGTCATCCTGCAAAACAATATATTTGTATTTATAAGCTGCTTTGGTCTTTCTCTGGTTTTCCCGGTATATCTGTGATAGAGAGCCATGGTGGGTGGATCCACGGAGTCGTCTTTTGTAAGCCACAGGTGGTGACACTCAGACTGCTGTGTGTTCTCTCCCTTGAGAATATTTCATATTGGAGCTGTTCCCTTCTTGTTTCCAGGGCTTTCGCTTGGCTTTCCTTGTTGTTAGTTTTATTTTTGTTATTTTATTTGTCTTATTTTAGGAATTCTTCAAATGGAAAAATAGGAATAAATCTTTGTCTCTGAACATAAATTATAATTTCTTGTGTAGCTTGTCATTCCTGTTATTTCTTTGTGGTAGCTCTTGCTTTTCTAAAAATTTTAATTTTTATGTAATCTTTTCTACCACTTACCTTTTATTGTTTTGGATATTGGAATCATTTAAAATAGTCTCCTGTACAATACAGTTACTCATTTTTAAAAAGTACCTACATTTTGCTGTCCTTCTTTTGCTTTTCTTGCCTTCATCATACAGGATGGATATTTAAAGTTTAACCCTTTTCACCAAATGCAAACCATCCATCCAGGCATGACTCTGGAAGTCAGACTTGGCCCCTGTGTTCAATGACGTTTGTTCAGCTTTGTATCCCCTGACCTCTGTAACAATATCATTTGCTTAATAACAGGAGTTAGAAAGGCAGAAACATATGTGCAGTGTGTTGCAGCATAAAATGGATGAACTCAAAGAAGGCCTTCGGCAGAGAGACGAGCTCATTGAGGTATGTGCTTGAACTGTTGAAATATTTGCTTTTGAAAAACAGATGAGTTGGATAGGATAGTGGTGTGTTTGTAGGGAGACTATTACAGTGTTATAAAGCAATGGTTCTCAACTTTCCTAATGCTGCAATTCTTTAATACGGTTCCTCATGTTGTGGTGACCCCCAGCCATAAACTTACTTTATTACTACTTCATAACTGTAATTGGCTACTGTTATGAATCATAAAACAGCTGTGCTTTCTGATGGTCTTAAGCGACCCCTGTGAGAACTGAGTGACCCACAGGTTGAGAGCCACTGCTATAAGGATGGTCATGAGCAACCCCTGTGGAAGGGTGCTAACCGCCTCCAGAGGTCGAGAGCCGCTGCTATAAAGAGTTTATTTGTGTAAACATTTATCTCTCAAAAATTTTCCAACATAAAATATAAAGGCAAGCTTAACAAGTGAATGCTTACAGATTCTATAAAATCCCTCCTTTGCTAGCAGGATTTTTGGCAGTGTCTTTTATTCTTAAGCACGCTTGCCTGCAAATATCATAGGAAGTTAGAAAAGGAAGCATTATGACGTATATTCTTGGAGTCCTAGGGCATGGCTTACAATAGGACATGATTCTTGAGGAGTAAGAATTTTGATCTTTACTCAAGTTAATGCCTTTGAGGCAGCTGAAGCTGAAGAAGAGGTGAAGTTGTGAGATCTCAGCTCTCTGCAGCACACTAAGGCGGCATCGCAGTGCAGGAGGGTGACCCACCGCAGCTCAGCGTGTGTGCGCACCACCCCGCTGTGGCTGACTGTCTCAGTTTTTAAGAATTACATGGGAGAGGATAACTGTAAGGCTGGATGTCTGTAATTTATCATCAGGGTGCTACTTACAAAGTTGGAAAGCCTTGGTCTTTTTATGCTTACAATTTCTGTCCTTTGGACGTCAGTAGCTACTGATCATGCACGACTGAAAACTGAGTATCACACCCACTGCCTTTGGGTCTCCAGAATTAAGATGTGCACAGTCAGGTGGGAGTGCGAGTAGGAGGAGAGTGTTGCTAGTTGTTTATCAGAGACGATGGGAACACTAGGAACACGGTAAGATGTCAGGACAAGGGCTTGCTCTGCTTGTTTACCCGTGACAATGGGGAACACAGTAAGACGTTAGGACAAGCACTTGCTCTGGTTGCTTTCTGTTGATGTGATAATATCCATGGCTGGAAGCAACTTAGGTGGGGAACAAATTTATTTCACCATATCAGGTCACATTCCATCACTGAGGGAAGTCAGGGCAGGAACCTGAAGGCAGGACTGTTTGCTATTGCACACAGCAGTTTCTCCAGCTGGGGAAGTCACTCACAACCCAGAAAGTACACCAGAAACCGTGGAGGGTGCTGCATGCTAGCTGACTAGCTCACTGGCTGGCTGAAGCTTACCCTCTTGATAGAGCCCAGGACCATCTGCCCATCAATTAACAGTCTAGACAGTCCCTCCCAGACGAGCCTACTGACCTGACAAAGACCGACCTGAGACTTCCCCCAGTGGATTCTAGGCTGTGTCTGTGCTAACTAGGACAACATCACTACCCACCAGAAGACTTGTTTAAGAACTGCCAAATGGTGAAATCCTATTTTCTAAAAGCTCATGTTTCTATTATAGTTTATGATATTCTTGATATTTCAGTTTTTGCCAACAGGAAATCAGAATGATTAAGCAGAAGACATGTCTGTCCTTTTTTTAGTTCTCCTTTACCAAGTCTGTGGTAAAGGGTCATTTGTTCATACGCAAATGTAAGTTTCCTTTGGCAAATATAAGTGGTTCCATGCTTGGGTAGAAAGGCAATTATCACAGGATGAATACACAGGAGTGCTGTGTATATGCAGGAACACAGGCTGGCCGGCTGCCTCAGAGCTGCTGTTGGAACAGTTAGCTTTCTCTAGTACCTTTGACATTTGCCCCACCCCCTTTTCTTGTGCTGGAGATGGAACCCAGGGCCGGTGCACACTCAGCACACTCTAAGCTGTGTCCTGCTGTCCTCTCTTGCTTACTACTGGGCAAGCCAGTGAGACACTGGGTGCCATCTTTCCCTGCTCTGTTATCATGGACTCCCCCCCCCCCCAATTTAAAATTCATCTGCCTCCTTTCCATTCTGCTTTCCTTCTAATACCCTTACTTTTTTTCTGCTTTTGTTATCTCCCTCCCTCCTTCTTCAGGAGAATCAGCGCCTTCAGCAGAAAGTAGACACCGTGACAAAAGAGGTGTTTGACCTCCAAGAGACCCTGCTTTGGAAAGATAAAATAATTGGGGTATGAGAGGAGGTGGGGCTTTGGAGAAGTTCATTCCTGAGGAATAGACCAAGAAAATTTAGGCAATGTGAATAAACAGAAGACAGAGACTTCTCTAGGAAGCCCTGGTAGTGTGCCTAGAGAGAACTGCTCTTTCCAGACTCCATGCTTGTGGTGCTCATAATAGAAACCTTTAAAAGAAGTGTTCTTTAATGCCCCAAGGATTCTTATCCCAGAGCAACCACAGGCATCTAATTCAAGTTCTGTGGGTAGCTGGCTATGTTTACGTTGCAGAAGTATGGATTAAAAAAGAAGCTGGAGGTGGAGATGGGGAAAATGTTATCTTGTAAATTGTTGGTGAATGAAGTAGGAGGAGATTACAAATTAGTTCAGTTATAGAAACAGATAGGAATGTAAGATGCAGGGCTGCCAAACTGTGACACCATCTCTCATTCCAACCCAGCACTTCCCAGCATGGGGCCTGGTAAGGCAAACAAACGCCTCCACTGCTGCTTTGTTTAGTGCTGAAGACACACGCCAGCCAGGCTGGGGGGCAGCAAAACTAGTCATATCCCTAGTTCCATAGGGCAGAAATTTAAAGAACAAAAGGAACTTTTAGATAATTTTCTGAAGCTTAAGTTCCCAAATTTCCAAACTTCCATCAAAAACTAGAAAACTTCCCAGGGACATTACAGTTGTGAATTACTTAATTTATATACATTTTTACTTGAGAAATTGAAGTGATATAGGGGAGTGGGTGCACAGAGTAGGCAGCTTGTTGAGGAAAAGTTTGAAATGTACATACTGTCTGGGATGTTGGTCTCATGAGTCAGGAGACCTGGGGCTTCTCATTTGTCTGTCTTTCTTAGCATTTTAAACTGGTTATCCTGGACTAGCTGACTAGCTAGAGTAAAACTACACACCCCATAAAATAGCTTATTAAAACAGATCTTGGTTTTCTTACTAAAAAGACATGCCAGTGTTGGTTGTAGAAGCACATGTCTTTGATCCCTGAACTTGGAGGAAGAGGCAGGTAGGTGGCTCTCATGAGTTCTAGGCCAGCCAGGATTATACAGTGTGACCTGTCTCAAAAAGATAATTATAAATGTACATGTTGATGGCTAAGATATAAATTACTTGGCTTTTAACTGTCTTGAGGATTTATTGAATTTTTTTGTAAGATCTATTTAACTTAAGAGTAAACTTTTACAAACTGCCGAGATAGCTCAGTGGGTAGAGGGCCTGCCTTGCGAGCATGATGCATTGACTTGGATGCAGAACCCTCCTAAAGGTGGGAGGAGAGAAGAGACTTCACAAGTGGTCCTCTATCTTGATTGTGTGTGTGTCGACTCATACATCATATACATAATAATAAATACTTTTTAAAAATAAATATGTTAATTTTGAGAAAAGTTAAGATTCACGTGCAAGTGTAAGAAATGGTAGCAAGATATCCCCATGTGCCCTTTGCTCAAAATGTCATATCTTGCAAAGGTGTAGGACGGTATTACAGCCAAGGACGTGTCTGTGGTACAGTAAGGATAAAGGTACTTCCATTTCTCCTTTTTATAGATACCCCTTCTTCAGCTGGCCTCCAGCCCTCAGAGCCACTCTGTAATTTTGCCATTTTAAAAATTTTGTAGCTGGGTGGTGGCAGTGCACATCTTTAGCCCAGTATTTGGGAGGCAGAGGCAGGTGGATCTTTGAGTTTGAGGCCAGCCTGGTCTGCAGAGAGAGTTCCAGGACAGCCAGGGCTACACAGAGAACTCTGGAAAAACAAAAACAAAACAACAACAACAACAACAACAAAAAAAACAAATAAGCAAAAGAATGTTGTATAGATATAAACCTACAGTGTATAGTTTTGGATTTAGTTTTTTTCCATTAAGCATTACTCAAAAAATTTATCTGTATGTAACAGTAGTTTATCCTTCCCTTAGCTTTTCTTTGTGCTTATTACAAATAATAATTTATAATAATCTTTACAGTTAGACAGTTCAGTGGAGTTAAAGTCACCCATGTTGCTGTGCACTGTTTTCATCCTCTCCAGCTAATGTACCCACTGCACAGTGCCATCCACATCACCCCTGCCAACCACTGTTCCACTCGGCTCCAGGTTATTACTGTAGGTTCCTCAATGAGGTGGACTCATAGCACTTCATGGCTGCTCTGTTACAGCAGCACAATATCCTGAGCTTTATTATCAGCATTGAAGTATGTGTCAGGATGAATGAATCTGTGTATGAGTGTGTGTGTGTGTGTGTGTGTGTGTGTGAGAGAGAGAGAGAGAGAGGAGAGAGTGTGAGTTCAGGATGATCCTCCCATTTCCTCCTGAGTTTTGGGGTTCCAAGCATTCCTCACCCACACTTAGCAAATGTCCTTACTTTTCGAAGCTAAATGGACATGTGTATCCCATTTCTTTATGGACACCTGGATGCATGTGTCCACCCTGCCTGTTGTGAGCAGGCTGCTGTGGATGTGCTGAGCAGCTCTCTCAATGCTGCTCTGACTGAAGGTATCGGGTGTCCAACCAGAAGTGGAATTGCTAAGTCATTTAGTAACTTGGGTGGTTTTGAGGACTAGCCTGTTCTGTATCCATAGCAACACTGCCCTTACACATTCCCCTCAGCGATGAGCAAAGGATGGCATTTCTCCACTTCCTCACCAACACCTGTTACTTCTCCTGGCTGGCGTTCTCGTGTCATTTGTTTTTGCTTCTCCCAGTCTGAGGAACAGAACCTGATAGGCAGATGCTCTACTGCTGAGCTACATCTCTAGACATGGATTGTTTTGTTTTGTTTTGAGACAGAGTGTGTGTAGAGCAAGCTGAATCCAGCATCCCTGGCTTCCCATTTACTTCTGAAGGGGTTGCTTCCGGCACCTAATTCGTCACTCAGCTCCAGCTTCATTTTCAAGAATAATAACTAATAACTTAAGAAACAAGCCCTAGGCTGAAACTGAGTTTTCTTCACTTTCCCTTGGTGACGTCAGTTCCCTTATCGCTGGCTTCTTGCAGTTCTCTCTAGGTACTCAGCATAGAGCAGGCAGTGGATAGAAAAGGGCCTGGGCTCTGGCCAGCTCAGCCTCAGTGAATCCCATTCTCAGTAACCGCAGTTATTTCACCCGTGGCCTAGGTTGGAATCCTCTGCTCTTTAAATTCTGCTGCAGAGGCGATTGCTGCCTGCGGCACAGGGCGGTGGTCAAGCGGTCAGGCTACAGAGGACTTCAGAACTAGAACAAATGTGTTTGACCCAATTATAAAGTATTTCAGTAGCTTTCAAGCTTTGTGGTAAAATATACAAATATACAGGATATGTTTTATTTTTATATCTGTAATTATGAAATTTTAAGATCTAAAAGTAAAACAAGAATCCAGTACTATAATTGTGAAAGGAGGAACAAAAGCCATGTACTGGTGTTTGCTAGAATTCTTAACTTGATATTGGTCTATTCCTGAGAGGTCTTTTTGTATTTAGTGGGATTATTGACACAGTATATAATAAAAGTGGCCACCTCCTCAGCTTAATGTCGTGATTACAGCACAACTGCATGCCACGCTCTGTAACACACATCTAACCTGTGCCCGTAACACACATCTAACCCATATGGTTCAGGTGACATAGGGAATGTTCCTGTGCTTGTTCTAATGTTGCATCGCTTGTTAAGTTGGTTAACACTAGCCACAGATATTAAAAGCTTCAGAATCTGGACTCTCAAGTCACTTTCCAGGTACTTGGAGATACATTCGATGTATGAATTTTCATCACTTATGGAAAGGAAGTTAGGTTTAAACATTGCATTGTAAAAAATGAGCAGAGGGCTTGCCTAAGCAATATGTCCCCCGCATTATGTGGGATGACCGTGAAGGACCAGAACGCAGCCTGTATGCAAGGGCTTTAGAGCCAGAGGGAAGCGAACCCATCTTCTCCCTCGGTGCTTACTGTAACTTTAGACGGGGAGCCAGGAAGAGCACCACAGGGTGGAAGGGTGCCTCGCCACCACACCAGTGTGTGCTGTTGCAGTCTGTTCTTACTTGTTCCCAGTTTTGTCACAGAGTAGGATTTAATGGTTTTTATAAAAGTTACTCAGTCAGTGCCAGGCCTGTTGACACATGCCTGTAATCCCACTGTAGGTGGGCACTGCAGGACGGGAGTTCATAGTCAACCTTAACTACATAGCAAGTTGAAGGCCAGCCTAGGCAATATGAGACCCTCTGTTCAGCAACATGGATAACCACTAAACACTTTTCTAGCCATTAGTTACTAAACAGTTGACCTATCTCTTGACCTGGTGATGAAAAAGTTACAACTTAACTTATTGGGCTAATGCTGGAGGAAACATTAAATGCAGGAGAAAAAATAACGGAAGGTTCTGGTAAAACCAGCACTGCCACCAGGTTACTGTGCACCTGCTTTCCATCTTGGTGTTTGAGCGTGATGTCAGATTCACCCTTGGTGACCAAAATAGGTCCCTCCTCTGCCTGTGCTGCTTTCCTGAAGGCTCTGATGCAGGACATAAGGAGACATGCCTTTCCCAGACCCTCAGGGTAACTTGCCAGTGTGAGCAGTGCTCCAGGCCCAGTGGGAGGTTTCCTGTTGTCAGACGGGTGGATTCTCGTGTGTTAAGTCCCCAAAGCTAGATTTGAACCCCTAACCCGTTACCCAGCTTGGCTAGTGTTCATTCTGTGTTTATTTGGCTTTCTCATTTTATCAATATTAACTAATTTTTATCAGAAAACCAATTAACATAGCGAGTTGGGAGAATCCCTTTGGAGATGAGCTGACTTGGGTCAGTTGGTAGCAGAGAACCTTGTCAACACTGGAGAACAACCAAACAGCCAGTATTTAAATAACTTATCCAGACTTTCTCTTCTTCCCAAACTGTCTTTATTTTTTTTAAAATCAAGCATATTCTTAACTACTTTGTTAAAGATGAAACAGATGTGTTGGGTTATTTTGTTGTTCACCAAATGAAAATGAACTGAGGAAGACAGGCAGGAACTTTTTGTCTTTAAAAATGTTCTTCTTGTAATGAGCACGTCTGGCCAAGTTCATGCATGAGCTCTTCTTCTGTTTAAACCCACGTGCAGCTGTGCAGTCTTCTCCCCTGCCTGGCCGCGGTTTCCACACTCTGACTCTGCGTGTAGGCCTCACCTGCCGTTGGATTAGTCACCTTTCTCTTGCTCTTTTTCTGTGCTGTTCTTTCCCTGCCACCCTGCCCAAAACCAGGCCCTAGAGAAACAGAAAGAGTACATTACCTGCCTCAGGAGAGAGCGAGATGTGCTCAGAGAGGAGCTGCCTGACCTGCAGGAGACAGTGCCCACAGCAGAGGTATGTCAGCCTGGGCCTTCTTCCCCTGCTCTGCCTTCTTTCTCTCCTGGCCACAAACAACAGCCTTGACATGCTGGCGGACTGAGCTGTTTCCTCCACAGAGGTATACCATAAAGCTAATTCTAACTAGTTTCTACACACGGCAAACAAACATTGTCAACAAACATTGTCGCAGAGATGCCTCAACAGAACTTAGAGTTTCTGTGTGGGTTACTGCTTGTAACTAAGTTTTTTCTTTTCCACAGAAACATGGCTTAGTTATAATCCCAGACAGCACTCCCAATGGTGATGTCAATCATGAACCTGTGGTTGGAGCCATTACTGCGGTGTCTCAGGAAGCAGCTCAGGTCTTGGAGTCAGCAGGAGAAGGGCCACTAGGTGAGAGACTGCCTGCTGTTTAGTTTTGGATTAATGTTGGGCTTCTAGCCGAGGGTGGGGGTGGGGAGCAGTATATGGGCTATTCAGACAAGAATCTTGATCTTGGGAACAGAAATGGAGTCACCCCGTGGGTTAGCACTGGTGGAAGCACTGCAGGTGTACATACACATCGCCTTCCACTTGCAACAGACTTGGTCCAGAGTCCAGCATGCCCATCCCAGGGGAGCTCAGGCCTGGTGGGGACTTGCTAGCCTGTGGGTAGCTTCTTCCTGGGCCACCTGGATTTAGATCCTAACTTTATCCCAGGGCTCTTTGCCACCTCTTTCTTTCTTTCTTTCTTTCTTTCTTTCTTTCTTTCTTTCTTTCTTTCTTTTTCTTTCTTTCTTTCTTGATTTATTTATTATGCATATAGTATTCTGCCTGAATGTCTGCCTGCACATCAGAAGAGGGCATCAGATCTCATTACAGATGGTTGTGAGCCACCATGTAGTTGCTGGGAATTGAAATCAGGACCTTTGGAAGAACAGGCAGTGCTCTTAACCTCGGAGCCATCTCTCCAGCGGCGAGAAATGGATGATAAAGAAGGCACATACTGAAGTGTGACTTCCAGGGCAGGGCTCCCAGGCCTGTTAAAAGTGACCCTTAGAGAACCTAACAACAAACTCCAGAAAGCCACAAAGGGGCCCAGCCATTACCCCTGTTCTGATTCTGCAGTGTGAGAGCTCATGGCAGACAGAACGTACATGGGAGGTTTTATTGAGAATAAGGGAATGGAAAAGCCGGGAGGGAAGGGAAGACACTTGCCTCTGGGAAGACCAGCAGAAGAGAAGAGAGAGACAGATAGAGAGGAGGGGAGGGGAGGAAGGAAGAAAAAGAAAGAAGTAGGCAGAGTTTCACCTTTTAAAGGGACAGAGTGCTGCCTGCCCTGAATAAGGCCTAACCCTCTGTCGGGTCCTCGAGGGATGGGCCTGGGTGTGCCTGGATGCTAACAGCCCCACAACAAATTTTGTGCTAGGGGAAGAAAAAAATAGCACAGATAGCTATTGTGCCATCTGTTTACATTAATTTTTAATTTTATTTTTTTCTCTTTGGTGTGTGTGTGTGTGTGTGTGTGTGTGTGGTTAAGGGAGTATGAGGCGCTATAAGAACAGCACAGGTTAAAATATGTTAAAGTTAGTAGGCAGGTTGTCTCATGTAGAATTCTAGAAACACAATTAATTGTTGAGCACTTTGACAGAGGACCAGGTGAGCAAGAGGATCAGGTGAGCTGGAGGGGAGATCTTGTAGGCATGCTACCTTTGGCGTTCGACATGATGTTATTTACAAACCCCACACTCAAAAACCATACAATTGAGTTACAAAAAAAAAAAAAAAAAAAAAAAGAAAGAAAACAAAAATCTTTTAAGTAAGTTTACCATTTTGTTGGTTCCCATCCATAACTGTTCATAACCTGACAGTGTATAGAACTGAAGATAGCAATGGGAAGCTCTGGGGCTCCTCTACCTTTTGGGGGGCTAAGGGAACTGAAACTGACATGGCTGACCCTCATTGGCCAACTGTGACCTGCTGCTTTAGCTGGACTTGTGGTATCTCCTCAGCTTAGGCAGCCTGTTCCCGCCTAAGCAGCAGCAGCCCTGTGTCTCTGCCCCAGGCTGGAGTCCAGGTTCCTTATTCCTGGCTTACTTGTGTTCATCACTAAGTTAGCCACAGGCTTAAACAATAGTTTAAACCCACACCAGGTTTTCTGATCCACTCGGCTCTCAGTTTACTGCTAGTTTTAGGGCGCCCCACTCACCTGCCCCCACATGACATCAGCCTCCACAGCCCACTGCTACCAGCACATGCAGCGCGGCCCCCACCCCCCCATATTCCGCCCTTCAAGGCTGAGAGCCTCTGAAGATAACTGGAAAAGCTTAGACATTTTTTGCAACAACAGCAAAGGACCCCACATTGTTTCTAGGCAGAAAGTCGCTGCTCTGGGAGCAGATGCTGTATCTGGTGTCACATCTGTCATGGACTGGAAGTACAGTTAGGAGGATAAAGGATTCCTTTGATTGCAATTAAAGCCTTTGCCTCTTTTCATGTTCACAATGTAAACAATGTAATTTAGGAGATGTTGGCTATTTGTGAGTCCAGTTTACAGCTTCCCCCCTTGTTCCAGATGTGAGGCTACGGAAACTTGCTGGCGAAAAGGAGGAGCTCCTGTCACAGGTAAGCTGTCTGCTCATCCGGAACCACTGATTCATCTAAGATAGGCAGTAAAATGCTAATAAACGAATGTTCATTAGAAATTCAAAATATTGCTGGGTGTGGTGGCGCACGCCTTTAATCCCAGCACTCAGGAGGCAAGAAGCAGATGGATCTCTGTGAGTTTGAAGCTAGCCTAGTCTACATAGTGAGTTCCAGGACAGCCTGAGCAATATAAGATTTGAAAAAAAAAAAAAAATATTTCTTAACTTTAGTACTGAAGGGACATTTAAAGGAAGAAATGTAGAGGATGCACACAAAGCTTGCTGCTCAGCCCTTCCACTCTCACCCTGACATCTGCCCTTAGTGTGGATCACGCTGACTTGAAGCTGCTGTTCTATTGGCATTCCTCTGTGGAAGACAGACCTCTGCCACACATGCGCTTACTTCCTGGTCCTGTAGCCTCTTAATGGCCAGTCTGTTTATTAAAATACAAATAAAATACCACTACAGGGTACAGAGAGAATGAACGGGGTGCTCAGCAGTCATGGGTACTGTATGTGAAGCTAAATAATCTAGGGAGTATGGCTATCTAATGTTGAAATGTTATTATATGTTAAATGAAGGCCAAGAGCAAAAAGAGGTAGACGGCAGGATCCTTGAAGGGGAGGTGTTCCAGAAACTGGGGTGCATTGTGGCAGCATGTCCTACTCTAGACGTGTACTAAAATGGCCGAGATAGGGGTTAGTTTGGGGAGTGCAAGTCAGGAGCTAACACGACAGAGGCACAGTACACTAGAGAGTATATGAGGTAGTTAGAGATGAGCCTCAACAGGTGAGAATGGGGACTTCTAGGGAGTATGAGTGCAGGATGGACCAGCAACAGCAAGGAAAGTCGGAGAGCACTGTTCCATTTCTTGACTGAGGTAGGAGCCTGGGAAGACAAAAGCAGCAGTGTGCAGTGGGGCTGCAGGAACTGCAGGGAGCAGCAGTGTGCAGTGGGGATGCAGGGAGCAGCAGTGCACAGTGGGGCTACATGAACTGCAGGCTCTGTGAAAGTCCTGAGGTTAAAAAGTGTACCTAGATAAGGTTGCTGCAGGAGCATCAGCTGATGGCAGGCTGATGCTTCCAGAGGCATTGGGGAAGTTTGTGTGTATGGAAGGTAAAGTTAGGCATGGTGCAGGACCTTTGGGTAAAAGTGCTAAAGAAGAGGGATGCCCCTTTTGGGGTATGATAGGAATGATGGGATGATAACCAAATTCTCCCAAGACAAACCCATGTGTGCAGAAGGCAGAGGTGCTTGGGAAGTGTGCATTCATTGAGTCTGAAATCAGCCTTGCCTGGCCCACTAGACGGTGACAAAGCTAGTGCTCAGCTTCCTTCTAGTCCCTGGCAGCAGAGCTAAGGGCATGGGAGAGCCAGCCACTTGTGCTTCCAATTAATTTGAATAGTTAGAGTTCTCTTAAGTATTCAACTTATCTCTAAAAAACTAGACAAAAGTCCTATCTACCCATGAAAAATATGTATTGTTGTATAGATATACACAAGTAATGAAGAGTAGAAGTCTTTATTATTATACCTGGCTTCTGAGGCGCATTCCTTCCTGTTTATATCAGTTTCTATTGAATGCCTAGAGCCATTTTTTCTCATAGAAAATAAAACTGTGTGATTTGTATGACTTGCTAATAATAATACGGACCTGCTTTGTTGTGTGTTATGGCCACTGGACCAGTTACCTCCATTACTTAAAGAGAATTGGTGTTGGGAACTGGTCAAAGTTGCTACAGCACTTGCTGCGCAAACGTGTCCTAAATGTGAATTCCCAGTAGTAGGCACTGCAGGAAGTCTCTGTAATCCCAGCATTGGAAAGGTAGACATAGGAGGTTCACTGGAGCTTACTGGTTAGCCATGCAGGCCAAACTTAATCAGTTTGGCTTCAGACTTGGTGAGATCCATATCTCAAAAATAACATGAAGAACAACTGAGGAAAGGATCTGATGTAGACCCCTGACCTCCATATATTCATGGACACATAAAAGTTAAAGACACTTATCCTCCATCCAGGCCTGGTGACACAGGTCCTGCAATCACAACTACTTGGGAGGCTGAGGAAGGAGACTCACAAGCTCAAGGTCTGTCTGGGCTAGAGTGAGTGCAAGGCCAGCCTGGGCAGCTTAGTGAGGACCTATTTCAAAGTAGAGGAGGGATACGGCTAAACTCTGTGCTAGTGTTTGCTTAGCATGCTGGAGTCCTTGGGCTTCACCCCAGTATCACCAAAGAAAGAGACAGAGATTGAGACGGACACTGACCTCACTGGTGACTTCTACCTCCATCTCAGGTTAGAAGATTGAAGCTGCAGATAGAGGAAGAACGGCAGAAGTCTTCAAGGAATGACGGCACATCTGGGGACCTGGCGGGACTGCAGAATGGCTCAGATTTGCAGTTCATCGAGATGCAGAGTAGGTACCAGGGTACAGGACAGTCTGAACTGGTATGCAGCATGTATTCCTGGAATAAGTTGGATGTGGGCTATTGGAGTCCAGGAAGAGTGGTCCTGGCCACTTAAGAGCTAAACAGGGATCTACTCACCTGTGAGTCCCAGGGATGGCATGGGCCAGTCGCTGCTTGCTGCTCCTGTGTGAACCCCTCTTCCATTTAAGCTTTTCTTTGAAATTCATTTTGGAAAATTGAAGATTTGAGGCCAGCTCATTAATATTGAGTTTCTGAAGTTTCCTAGTTTTTAACAAAGATTCACCTTTATATGAAATTGAAACCTAGGCTACAAAATAGTCTGTTTACACAGATTATGTTTCCTTTACCTTTCTACTCTTCATCCCGTGTTGTTGGTTTGTTTGGGACAGGGTGTTTCTACATAGTCCTGGCTGGCCTGAACTCACTCTGTAGACCAGGCTTGCCTAGAACTCACAGAGATCCACATGCCTCTGCCTCTCAAGTGCTGGTATTAAAGGTGTGTGCCACCATGCTTGGCTATGTGCTTGTATTCACCCTAAATCCCACAGTAGAGTTGTCCTAACATCTGTTCGTATTACACTTTCCCTGTTGGTAGTGGTGTGTAACTTACAATAAGGAGCTTTTATTTTAGTTTGTAATTTGTAGGGGTTTTACTGGTAATGCACTTCAAAATCTTGGCTATTTGTGATCTTTTCATATTGACAGTTGGGCTTAGGCTGAATGGAGGGACTTGGGGGTTGAAGCGTATTGGTAATAACTTGTGTGGACCTCAGGTCCCCCATATTCCTTGATGAATAGTTTGTTCTAGAACATCTCGTTGGTGTGGTGGGACAGAAAGGTGACAGAATGTGGGGAGGCTAGTTAGTATGGTGAGCTTGACCAGTATAGTGTTGCCAGGAGTCCCAGAGGGCACACGTAGGTTCTGAAAGATTGCAAAGGCAGCGAATTTGAAAGGAACCAAGTTGAGGAGGAACAGGCTAACTTTTTGTGATTTCTTCCTAGAACCTAGCCTCTAATGATTTGTAGCTATACCCATAACATCACTGTGCAATTGAAAAGCATTTGTCTAGCTAGGCGATGATGGCACACGCCTTTAATCCCAGCACTTGGGAGGCAGAGGCAGGTGGATCTCTGTGAATTCGAGACCAGCCTTGTCTACAAGAGCTAGTTCCAGGACAGGCTCCAAAGCTACAGAGAAACCCTGTCTCAAAAAACTAAAAAACAAAAAAGGAAAAAAAAAAGCATTTGTCTCAGCTTTATTGAAGCATACACTGCAAAGCATTTGGCCAGGTCCATAGATTTTAGGATACTAAAGCAGGACCTCTCTTTACATACACAAACAGTATTACAGAGCATAGTTGTTAAGAGAATGCAAATAAAATGATCAAGGGAAGAAGTTACAGTTCTCTAGAGTCATGGAAATGAGTGCATCTTACTGGGACTGGTGAAGAGCTGAATCAGCGTGTGAGAGAGCAGAAACACTGCCTGGGAGCTGGAAGGTACAGGGCTGGGTTCAGAGATGCAGGGGGCCCAGAAGCTGCAGGGGTCCATTGCCACCCTGTGAGCTTCCTTTCTCAACACTCTGTTCACATGCATCTAGAGCAGACCCGCTGTGACCCTTTAATACACTTCCTCATGTTATGGCTATTTCATCACTGTAATTTTGCTACTGCTGTGAATCATAATATAAGTATCTGATATGTGACCTCAAAAGAGGTTGCAGTCCACGGGTTAAGAACCCACTAATGTAGAGGGAAAGAAGAACTTTGCTTCTGACTCTTGGTCTCAGGAACACTGCTGAGCAGAGGTGCAGGAGCTTCTTGCAGTACAGAGTCTAGAACCTGAACTGCATGTCCTCTGTATGCTACTTCACAGCGTTATCTCTGGAGATGAGTGTAATTCATTATTATCTTCTGTTTTAGGAGATGCCAATAGACAAATTAGTGAATACAAATTCAAGCTTTCCAAAGCAGAACAGGACATAACCACCTTGGAACAAAGTGTAAGTACTTCTGTGAGGTGCCACATGATTCAGATGCCATTAAATACTATCTAATGTCTCAACCTCTTGCATCAAAGTGGCTAGACCTTTGGATTTCTGTGGGTGGCCCTGGCGGCTTGGTCTCTTCAAAAGCTCTGCATTACAGTTGGCGTAATTCAGCTTTGTTTCTGCTCTAAAGACAGGACTAGGCCATCAGGATGGCACAGCAGAGTTTGATCCCCAGGACCCACATGGCAGTGGACAACAGTTTCCCACATGTTGTTTTCTTATCTTGTCCTAGTTAGGATTTCTATTGCTGTGCTGAAACACCAAGACCAAAAAAACTTGGGAAGGGAAGGGTTTATTTTCTCACATTTCCATATAACAGGTCATCATCAAAGCAGTGAGGGAAGGAACTCAGACAGGGCAGAAAACCAGAGGCAGAGGCCATGAGGAGTGCTGCTTACTGGCTTGTTCTTCATGGTTTGTTTAGCCTGCTTTCTTATAGAAACCAGGACCAATTGCCCAGGGATGGAATCACCCACAATGGGCTGGACCCCTCCCAATCAATCACTAATTAAGAAAAATGCCCAGCTGGTCACTGGTGGTAAACACCTTTTAATTCCAGCAGCCAGGAGTCGGAGGCAGGTAGATTTCTGAGGACAGCCTGGTCTACAGAGTAAGTTCCAGGACAGCCAGGACTATACAGAGAAACCCTGTCTTGATCAAAAAAAAAAAAGAGAGAGAGAGAGAAAGAGAGAAAGAGAGAGAGAGAGAGAGACCGGGGGAGGGAGAGAGAGAGAGAGAGAGAGAGAGAGAGAGAGAGAGAGAGAGAGAGAGAGAGAGAAAGGAAATGCCCTATAGTAGGCTTGCCTACAGCTGGATCTTACCGACATTTTCTCAGTTGAGGCTCCCTCTTCTCAGATGACTTTAGCTTGTATCAATTTTGTTTGCTGAGGTTTCTGTCCTGCCCAGTTCCTGCAATCGTTAAGTCCCAAAGAAATCACACAGAGGTCTATATTAGTTATAAACTGATTGGGCTAGTAGCTCAGACTTCTTATTAAGTCTTACAAAATTTTATTAGTCCATTATTCTTGTCTGTGTTAGCCATGTGGCTCGGTACCCTATTCAGTGAGCAGTCACATCTTGCTGCTTCTGTGGCTGCAACTGTGGAAATGAGCCTTCCTCTTCCCAGAATTCTCCTGTTCTTGTTGCCCCACCTATACTTCCTGCCTGGCTACTGACCAATTAGCATTTATTTAAAATATAAGTGACAAGATACAGACCATTGTCCCACAGCACTTCCCCCCTTTTAAAAAAACAAAATAAGAACTCAGACATCTGAGCTATCTGTTTCTACCGGAGATTTCTCAGGTGGTCTTCCTTGATCAAACCTGATTTTTCTTAATTCAGAATGAATCCTCAGCCTCAGGGTACAGACCATTGTCCCACAGCACAATTTGACATAAAACAAACACAGACCTCTATGTGCACACAGTAAATAAACAGGTATAATTTTTTAAAAAACTACTTTGCAGCTGTCTTTTTTTTTAATGCTATTTCTAGAGAATTTAAGAACAGGGCCTCTTTAGAAAAATATTCCTTCATCTACATTTCAAAAGCCTATAGACTTAAAATGGGAAATTGGCCTTCTAGTGACTGACTGCAACTGTACTTCTCCTGGGACCCTTGGCTCCCCAGTGGCTCTGAGTTTCCTCTTGGATGGCGAGCAGTGGCAAACCCTAGTGGCCTGTGTGCTCCTATTCACAGGTCAGCCGGCTTGAGGGCCAGGTGCTGCGCTACAGAACTGCCGCTGAGAATGCAGAGAAAATCGAAGATGAGCTGAAAGCAGAAAAGAGGAAGCTGCAGCGAGAGGTACTGTGTTGGCATGCGTGTTCCTGAGAGAAGTGCTGAGGGAAATTCACAATGGATGTCAGTCAAGTGTGGTGATGCACGCCTTTAATCCCAGCACTTGGGATGCGGAGGCAGGCGGATCTCTGTTAGTTTGAGGGCAGCCTGCTACATAGTGAGGTCTAGGCTAGCCATGGATGCATAATGCGACTCTATGTCAAATAACCAAAACCCAAAAGACCTGGTGACGAAACCTAGAGCTGCTTGATCTTCACACGAGCTTTGGACCTGCACAGTGGCTGCCATTGACTTTTTTTGGTAAGGCAAGAAAAAAATAATGTATTTTTGGGTTTTGCTTCAGATAACATCAGTTTTCTACAGCTTTTACACATTTTATTTTGTGGTTTAAACAATCCTCAGCACCACAGTTTAGGCCTCTAGCTGCCTGGAGAAGGGTGGCAGCTGTTTGAGGACCCCAGACATGGCTGCCATTTTTAGCAGAGACAGAAAGGAAAGGATGCTGGGCTTTCCCTGGCCACATAAAGTGACTGTGCTCTTTGTCTCCAGCTACGGACAGCACTGGACAAGATCGAGGAGATGGAGATGACCAATAGCCACCTGGCAAAGCGGCTGGAGAAGATGAAGGCCAACAGGACGGCCCTTCTAGCCCAGCAGTAGGGGACGGACCTTCTGCCTGGGTGCTGCTCCGAGGGCCCTGCCCAGAGATACTGACTCTTTGTATATTGACACAAAGCTTTTCGAGTACTGTTTGAGTCTTGTCATTAAACAGCCACCTTTGTACTTTATAATTTATGAGAATGAAGCAGGTCTAATTGTCATGAATTTGGATTTTGTTTGTAGTTCACTTCTAGCGTGAGAACTAGTCTGTGCTGTTTTATTTTTAATTTTCAACATCCTAGAATCATGTTTTCTCACCATCTTCCTCCAGCTGCCTCATTGACTGGGCACGTGGGAGGCTGTGGTGTGGGTCTGGAGGATGGCCGTTCTGAGTGCTGAGACACTTGCTGGAGACCTCAAAACACAAGTGCCTTCTCCACGGTGTGATCCAAGCTTCAGAGACCGAGTGGCCAAGATTCCTACTCTTCTCCCAGAGCATTTATATTTCAGTGAGGAAGTATTCAGGGGTGGGGAGTCTGTGTTTCGATCAAATTTATGTTTGGAGAAAAAAGGCCTTTTTTTGTAAGATATTTAAATTTATATAAAAATGTTAGAAAATGGGGAGTGTACATTAAATTTGATTGCATGAGGCAGAGGAAGTCTAGGCTTTTACTCTTAAAATTAAGAGTAGGGTCTTTAGTCTCCGTATCCACTGTGCTGTTCCTTGTAGTTTCATCTGCTGCTGATTTATGAAATGAAACCTCAGACAAGCTTGAGGGGTGAGGGAGGGACAGTACAGGCAGGTAGGGAATCTGCCTGAAGAACTATTAAACACACCCTCTGCCAACCAGAATTGGCGGACACAGTCATTGTTGCCGAAGCTTTTTAGGACAAATCATGGCAACCATGTACAGTCCTGTCTTGCCTTCTTCTTTTCTCAAGACAAGATAATCCAGAACACAGAACCTTTTAAGTTTTTTGAGAGACAGCGTCTGTGTAGCCCAGGTTGGCCTCCACCTCATAGACGTCATCCTTGTGCCTTTTGGGTGCTGGGATTCCATTCATTGCCTGGCTCTAGAAGAAACATGCCTAAGAACTTGCATTTCATCTTTATAGACCAGTTCAAGATATCTCCCTCCCCTACCATAGCCACTTCACAGGGTTTGTGATTCTCTTTTGTCAGAATCAAGGTGGTTTCATGAGAATGATTACTGTAGCTCAAAGTGTTTACAAAGAAACTATATTGAGGAAAAGTCTAATGAATCAAAGCCTCTTAATAAATCTAGACTTGGAACTAGATAATAAAGGTAACTAAAAAGTGAGTAATAGTTGTTCCCTTCTTTAGTCACTAGCCCTTCATTTTTAGGGTATGGAAACTGTCCTGAGCTGAGAACGCCCTGTGCGCGTCCTAACAGGAACTACAGGTGTGTGGGTGGGGCAGGGATGCTACACTTAAGTGATCCAACCCTTCACATGGAGAAGGTACCCATCCTGGGTACTGAGACTCTCCTGAGAAGCCCTGGCCCTAGCCCTTGTTACTTTAGTTTTTTCCAATTGAAATGGCTCTATTTCTTCATGATAAGTTGTTTTCCCTGGAACCTTCTTCATTGTTTCCTGTGGTCTGTGCTTTACTTTCAACCCTGAGGCATCAGTCCTTGGGCCGAGTGCTATATTTTTCTGAGGCAGGGTTGGCCTTAAGGTAGCTTATCTGGGCATTGAAGAAGAGCTCTATCCTTATTACTGGTTTTAGAGCTCCTGCCAACTCCCAGTGGACTAGATTTGACCACCTACCCCAGCAAGTCACCACAGTTAAGCAGTGAAGGCAAAGAAAGATTCACTTCTTGTGACCGTGTTGGTAAGAACAGATATGAGTTCTGGAATCCCAAATTAATTTTCCAAGTGTTAATGGTGTGAAAGAGGGAGGAAAGGAGACAATTGGGGTATGCACTGCTGATGTTGGCAGGCCAGTGGTCTGACTGGTAATTAAGTCCAGGTCCCATGAAAGGCTCTGGAGAAGTGCTGGTGACATCTCTTGATGGTTTTCATTGACATCATTTCCCACTCCAAGGTGCAGCCTTGTCCTTGTCAGTACTTTCTCATTTTGAGGGATAATCTGTGCTATGAATGTTACTTTGGGAGGCACCGGTCCTGTCATTCCTTAATTCCAAAGTAACTCCAAAACAGAATGACTCTGGAGGGAAAAGATAAAGCCAGAGAGGGGCAAAATAGTAGCTGAAGTCAGTGTCTCTTTTTTGCTTCCCCAGAATCCTCCAAATAAGAATACCTAGAAATATATTCAGAGCCACTAAGGGGGCTAGTTATGTCCCTAATAATGAATTAGCCTTGACTACGGACTGAAAAAGTCTCAGCTCAAGCTTTCTCCAGTCAGTACCAACGCTATTAACATATTGCATTAGTAACTATCTTTTCTTACTGTTGACCAAATACCTGACATTGGATGGATTTATCTTGGCTCACGGTTTAAGACCACGACAGGAAAGGTGTGGGAGAATTCACGGGCAGGATTTGGCAGATGGTTCTCAAGCAGGGAGCCTTTTACCAGGCATTCTGTTCACACTTTTCAAGTCTTGGATGTCAACATGTAGGAGTTTCACTGAGTGGACCCTCAGAACACATTTGCCAGTGCCCAGTACAAAGCCTAAGGTCTCTAGCTGTGTTCATCTCTTAACAATTACAGATATTCTGTCTGCACACTCCTCTGCAACTCTAAACATGCTCACACTCTGTTCATGTTTTCTCGCAGTTGACCTCATAGTTCTCATCTTTCTGCTTGAAATGTCATTATCAACCTCAATAAACACAGTGATAACCAAGCCACCACCCAAAGGTTAAGCCGACCTGAAACTGTCTCTGCCAAATAACTTAATCCATTACCTTTAAATTCAGTCTTACTCAAGGACACCAGAAAAGACAGAGCCAGGTCTTTGCCAGAATGCAAATCAGAATAGCCTAGATCCCACTAGTCTTTGTTCCCTTCTCACACCACGTGAGCCATGTCCCCACTGGCTGCATTTCTTCTAAATTCCCAACAGACTCACCCATGAAGTTCTGATTACAGTATTCCAGAGCTCCCCAGCCTGTAACTCCAAACTTTTCTGCATTCCTCCTGTACACCTGTTTAAAGCTTATAAACCACATGACAAGCTTATCAGAACAGCATCCCTTGGTTGTCCATACCAGTACTTTTAGACAGGTTCATACAGAAACAGATTCATGGGATGTATAAAAGGGATTTACAAAGAAAGGACTGAGCAGTCTGAGCAGTACAAGGATGGCTGCCTGCAAGTTGGAGGATAGAAAACTTGGTAGCTGCCCAGTTCATAAAGCTGGATGCCTTAGTAGGCCCAATCTGGCATCAAAAGCCTAGGAGATCCCTAGAGAGGAGTCTTGGTATTGCGTCCACCTTGGAAGGCTGAAGAATTTCAGAGTCTGATGGCAGTGTCAGTGAAGGATATAGGCAGGTGTACACTTTTTCTGGTATCTGGACTACTGGAAGTTGCTCTTGCTGCCCACTTAGAGAGTGTCTTCCCCAACCAATTATCTGCTCCGGAAGCACTGTCACAGACACACCAAAGTGTCTTTCCTAGGTACTCTAAACCCAGTCAAGTTAACAAGAACATCAGGACTTTGTGAAACAGGGTCTTGCTCTGCAGTGCAGTCTCCATTGACCTGGAACTTAGTATGTAGACCAGGCTCGCCTCAAGTGCACAGATCCACTTGCTTCTGCCTCCACGTGCTGGCATCAAGGCGTGTATCACCATATCTTTAGGACTTTTTTTTTTTTTTTTAAAGCAAAGCTGGAGTTTATTAAGGGATGAGCACTGAGGGAGGAGATATGCAGGGAACCCAAGACATGGACTTCTCAAAAGTTGCTGTTCTAGGGCTTCCTTTAAAAGGAATTTCAACTAATGCAACTTAGGGTATCTGATAATAAATTTCCAGAATAAAAACATTATAGCATGGTTTCAGAAAACTTCAAGAGTTTTTTTAAGAGTGTGTGTAAAAATGCCTTCTGAGGTGCCTAGGGCTTTTTTGAGTCTTCAACACAACCCAGTATATACTAGGTGAAATCATCTTAGATAGTTTCCAATGTGAAGTTACACACCAAAAAAAAAAAAAAAAATCACATCAAGCAAGATACACGTGAGTTTATTTGCAGTCAATCCACACATGAAGGCAAATGAGAATTTTTAACATTTAAGTTATAGCAACAACTCTGGGAGACGAAGCATGAGCAGCGAGCACTGGAAACCCCGGAGCACACCAGCTGCCCTGTGGCGTCCTCATCTGTAGAATGTGCTTCGTCTTGAACAGTGGATGCACAGTCACTAAGGTGGCTACGGCCATATTTAACACCTCTCAAAGACTTTGTACAGATCTGGCAGGTTGGCGAGTTGCAGGACATTGCCATCCTCTGTGAAATGCTTCGGAGGCAGAAGGTGTGAGCGGAAGGCTTTATAGATAATGTGTTCCACAGTCCACTTCCAGGGCTTTGGGGTGGAGCCAGGCATGTCACTCTGGAAAACACGTGAAATGCATTTATCTCCCCTCATACTGGCTTTCCCACTGACATGATAGGCACTGGGCCTGGAAGGGTCTTAGTGGTGTGTGTAATGGGGCTTCTGCAGGACAGTCTTGAGGATCCCACAGGTCTGAGCAGAAGAAGCAGAGTTTGTGAAGAAAAGAAACTTGAGGGACCACTGCCTACATTTTTGTTTCCACTGTGGTGGATCTAACATTTCCGAGCCTGGTTCCTGGATCGTAACTCGACAGCAAACGTGGGGTGTCTTAAAGTGGCGCTGCTCTGACACTCCAAGGAGGATAAACCTGCCTCAGCGTGGCTCCTCTCCGTGTAAGCCTTGGCTGCCCCCTGTATGTGTTCTTTTCCGTCTGCTGTCTGGTTCCTATCAAATAAACTTAGAACAGTTTGTGTGTCCACTTCCCACCAGGGTGAGAGAATTCTTGGGGTCTCCGCAGGAGCCAGGGCTAACTTCTGTTCCACCACTGTAAAGCACGGGAACCGGAGCACACCAGGGGTCCTGATCAGGGGACAGCATGTTCACCACCACTAACTCTGAAATATGAAAGTGTCACGGGCAACGCTTGAGTATCTGTCAGGCTCTTGGATCATTCTGGAGGGTATGTTCTAGTCCAACAGAATGAAGTAAAGTTTATGAATAAAAGCTGGCCATTGTAAAGAGATGGGTGTACTGCTACATGCCTATAACCAGCACTTAGGAGGCTGAAGCAGGAGCATCCAAAGTTCAAAGCCATATGCAAATTCCTGGGGGCTGTTGTTTGAACTCTGTCATATAAAGCAAAACTGTAGGACTTTATAGAGATTATTTAAATCCCATATCCTAAAGGTACATGAAACCCACCCCAGTCCTGGATGCCAACGTGCACTAATTACCACAGTACCTGCTGGCCTGAGAGGGCTGACTCCTCCAGTATATACTGCTTCCGAATGGAGTAAAACATAGCACATTCCTTACTGAGGCTTTCAAAACATTCCTTCTCTTCATCCCAATTTACCTGATCCACAGAATTCAATACAAGAAAAGCATTTAATGCGTGCTTTAACATTTTGTGTCTAAATATCACAGACCTGAGCTGGAGAAATGGTGGTTAAGAGCATTGGCTGCTCTTCCTAAAGGACCCAGGTTCAATTCCCAGCACCCACATGGCAGTTCACACCTGCCATGTAACTCCAAGATCTAACACTTTCATACAGACATACATGCAGGCAAAACACCAATGCACATAAATAAAAATAAATAAAAAATACAATCAAAACAAACAAACAAACAAACAAACAAACAAATGCCACAGCCCTAACAGGCAATAAGAACTGTGACTCGCAGCACTGACACTTGACTGGGATGACTATGGTATGGGCTGATGGGCTCTCAGCTATTTTGCTTTGTTATCCTTTTAGTTCCAGATGAAGGTACTCTACCTCCAGTTCACAGATACAGACAGACAGACAGACATGACACAGACACACACATGCGGGTAAGCACTGCTTAGCATCTGCTGTTACATACCTCTGTGGCCAGTCGAAGGATGAAGAGAGGCAGTCCCTCCAAAGGGGGAACATAGTTGTCAATCAGAAGGGGTAATCCAATCAGGTTCCCTTCCTGCTTGGGGAGGGGGACAAAAAGGGAGAGTAAGACATAAAGGCATCGCGGCTGATAGGTTCATTCCTCTTGTGTCTCTCCAAGCCTGTACTGGGTGCAGGTTGTAAGCTGCACACGGGCCTTTAATCAGGAACAACTTTTCCTTCTGGATCTGCTCAGAA